CGGTATAGAAGATGGATACGTCCACGAGCTACAGGATGAGACCTGGCGTGAAGGAGACGCCCGAAAGGACCAGCCAACGACACCGGAAAGGACCAGCCAACGACACCGGATAGGACCAGCCAACGACACCGGAAAGGACCAGCCAATGACCCTGAGGCAGCAGGCCATTGCTGAAGCAGGGAGAGGCCAATGGACTGATAGACTGATGAACTGATGATTTTGGACTCACAATCCGCCAGAAGGCGGAGGACCTTAGCAGGTTATGTTTATTTTTGAGAATCTGGGGGTGGCCAGTGGGCCTAGATGGCCAAAAGCAGCCTGTGTATGCCCAGTGGCCAGGTGGAGGAGAAAAGCCAACTAAGGTGGCAAAGCTGGTACTGATGCTAAGTTGAGAAGCCCTAAAGCGGCTGATAAGCAGCCTGGTATGCTGAAGCCCTGTGAGTCTCGTAAAATCACCTATGGGTGATGCCCTGCTCATTCTTGAGTGAGGGTGAGGAGCTGAGGAGCCCGTCCTTGGGGGACGGGTGGGGAATGTGGCTTGGGGTGGAGCCCAAGCCAAATGCAAAGTTTGGATCCCCAACCCATGTGCTTGTGCAGTGGGTTGGCTTGAGAGCAGGGGTCTGTGAGTCGCATGGGTGGCCATGAAGGCCGAGTGTTGGAGCGACTGCAGACAGAAACCCTGAGGGTTGGCGATTACCCCCACAGAATAAAATTGCCAATCCCAGAGCTAGTGCATCCTGGGGGTGGATGCTGTGTGTGCCTTGTAGCCGAGACTACAGCCAGAGAAGGCCAGGAAGCCTGACGGCTCCTGGTGTGTTATAGCAGATGCCGTGTGTGATTTCCCCTCCCTCGTATGAGCAGTGCCTTCGGCAGCAGATTTGGTGGCTCATCTGCTGGTACCAATAATTGTCTTTTGCACTTGGTTGGTGCCCTGCCTGGACTTGTGTTCTGTTGTATTTTGTTATGTTGTATTTTGTTATTTGATGTATTTGCTTTTGTGGGCCATGGCTGCATTGTTTGTTTGCTTAGAAAATTGTGTATATATGTATAGACTGTATGGCAGAAAACCCTGAGGGGGTGGACTGTAGGGTAAAGAAAATATCAGGCTTTTCTGCCCTTCCGCCATCAGGATAGATGATGGATCCTTGTCCTGAATGCATGCCTGATGGTGGGCACCTGGAATAGGGTGTGGGCATAGGTAGATGGGATTCAGCTGAGCTAAGACTGTGCTTTTAAGGGCGGCGTCACGGGGGGACGCGAGCAGCCCCAGCCAGCAGCAGCAGAACCTGAAGGAGAAGCCGACGCAGAAGCAGAGAACGCCAGAGAGCCCAGATAGAGTAAAGACTTGCTGGGGGGCTGGGAGGCCTGCCAGCCTCCCAGCCCCCCAGCCAGCACCCCTGCCTGCCATATGCCTGGTGAACCCCAATAAAAGACCTGCAAAACCACTGAGGACTCTGACTCCTCCTTTACCCGTCTGCATGGGATCAGAAAACCTGCACTGTGCCCCTTCCAGCCCCTACAATAGGAGTATAAGAAACCCTCTGGAATCCTGAATGTGTTTTATCCTGATTACCCATTAGTCAGTCGCTGTGGTAATATCTCCTGAAAGCTGCTTCAATCAGAAGGTCCCAGAAAATCTTATCTGGTAAATCCTGTTTCTTGTGCAAGAATACAGGGGGATCAGAGTCTCTTCATTTTTGATGAGCTTTGTCATCAGATTTGCTGGAAGGACTGTGTGGTAATTAAACTGCAGGTCTCTTTATTCTGTTTTCAGCATTGTTAGACGAATTTACTCCGCACCGCTTGCCTTCCTGATTGACTCACCCTTTGGGGCAGAATGCCTGGGCTGAAATTAAATGTGTAGGTTTCTCTACTGCAGTGTTCAATCTGTCATCTCTCTTAACCGCCATACTCAGAAGCAGCCATTTTAATTGGTCAGACCCCCAGGGTGATATTTGGCACAATTCCATTGGTTAGAATTACTTTTCCTGAACTTCATAGCAGATGCTGAGGTCCCTCTGCAGATATTTGTCATAGACTAGTTGAAACCAGGGAGTTTCCAAGTACATTTTTAACTTGTGATTATTATGTATGCTTTTCAGTTGTTTACAACAGTTACCACTTCAGGAAAAAGTTAATTTATTACTAGGTGAAAGTGAAATCTCTCCCCTTTCCTCCTTAGTCATATTGTTATTTTAACAGTTTGTACTCCAAAACCTTCTGCTGTTCTCTCATGCCTTTTTGTCTCTTTGTCTGCTTAGGCTGTGCCACTTAGTAGCAGCACACAGCGCCCAGCTTAGACCTGGTGCATCTGGTAGACGGCTGTTACTTGATTACTAGTGTTTGCTTGTGATTTTACTTCTGTTTGTTGTTTTCGATTTTACTTGTGTTCTTTGCAGCTCTCACAAATCAAAACCACTGGGAGGGCATTGAAACCTGTGCCTTTGGACACAGGACAGGGACGGAAGTGATGATTTTAGTAATCCTCCAGACACTCCCTTCCTGATTTTCTGGTGCAGTTGTAACTGACAATTTTAACATGTTTCTGTTTCTAACCCGTCTATCTGTTACCATTCTTTTCTTATTTTTCAGGTACTCTTGGAACTTAAAAATTATCTTTAGTATGTTTGAAGTGGAGATGTTAATATTAGACCTTTCCTTAAAGGTGTTGCTGTGGTTATATGGGTTCAAAATCCTAAATTTGCTAATCACCTTGGAACCATGATTGTGGTTATTTTCAAACATGAGGTCTTTCCCCCCACCCCCTCAGCCCAGTTATCTTAGTTATCATTAGTGCTACTTCAGCAAATACTTAGTGATTGCATTTACCTGGCACTAAGACTGGGAATAAAGCTACAAGGTAGACTGTGGTTCTTGTTTCCTGTTTCACTTTCTACACCCTCACCACTGGAGAATAATACTTTAAAAATAATTATACAAATTGTTAGACAATTGGTTAGACACAGTGCTGCTAGAATGCTCCTTTCCTCAGAATGTCATCACTAGCCATACGAGGACCTTGTCTGGCTTTGTTCCTTTTGGAATCCTCAGCAACTAGAGAAGGGTGGGCAGAGAGGAGTGCTTAAAAGATAATCAGATGAATGAATTGAAACTATGGGGAGGTGTACAGATGCAAGAAGGACATAGAAAAGTCTTCCTTGAGGAAATGAGGAAGGTATGGTGGGAACAGAAGGTTCCTTAAGTCCAGATGAGCTTGGCATTTGAGGGACTGAAAGAATAGTACAGCTGGAGCTAAGAGCAAGGTCCTGAGCACTAGGATTGTTTCATTATCTATTTAATGGTTACGAGTGAAAACAATTAATAAGAGGGGGCTAATCAAACATTAGTTGTAGGTGAGACAAGTAAAACCTTCCTCAGCAGAAACAAAGGTGGGCAAAAATAGAAATGAATATGTGTAAGGCAGGACAGGACACAGTGCAGGTTTTCTGATCCCATGCAGACCGGGTAAAGGAGGAGTCAGAGTCCTCAGTGGTTTTGCAGGCTTTTATTGGGATTACCAGGTACATGGCAGGCAGGGGTGCTGGGGGGCCGGGAGGCTGGCAGTCCTCCCAGCTCCCAGCAAATCCGCACTCTCTCTGGGCTCTCTGGCGTTCTCTGCTTCTGCTTCTTTGCTTCTCTCTCAGCTTCTTTTTGGCTTCTGCTGGCGTCCCCGTGACGCCGCCCTTAAAAAGCACAGTCTTAGCCCAGGTGAATCTCACCTACCTATGCCCACACCCTCCTATATAATTAAAATTCTGGATTCCCAGAGCCAGTTTTTCTGTCTACTCTATCTTTTATAAGGTGCTCAAGTATTGAGTTGATAGTTACCCCTTTTGGAGGCCCTTAGAAGGAAGTAGAACTAGTGTTAAAAACTTTCTCCCTGCTCGCTGCATTAGGTGATTTCCATTGTCTTCTACTGTCAGCCCATTAACCTTGCTCTCCTGGAGCACTTGAATTGCCAGTGAGAAGGGTAGGGAGCATGGGTGGTGAAAGTGGCCCTCTCTTTCTGCAGGGCCATACATTAATCAAAGAATTTGAATTTGAACACCCTCTAGCTGTGTGGATGCCGGCTCAGTTGCCCAATCCTCTGTGCCAGCCTCTTCAGGTACAAAATGAGCTTTTCAGTTTTGATTTTTATAAATGAGACTGTAGATACAAACATAACAACTCACTTGGTACATGTTCAGTGTTTTATAGTTTTTTAGTTTTTCCTTAATAACATTTTCGTCATCTGAGAAGAAACATCAACACCCTGAGTTTGACTTACTCCTCCAGTTTCTCCCTTGTCTACCCTCTAAAATAATAGCACAAGAGAGTTCTCTCTCTCACCTAAAGCTTTGGATTAGAGATGTGAGCCCCAGTGTCTTTGAAGTCTTTGACAATCTCACTGTGAATAGAGGGACTGCAAGCTGGTTTAGAGAGGCAAATATTTAATCCTCATTAACCCTGTGACTTATTATACCATCTACCATTTACTGCTGTCTGCTATTCATGTAACATTGAAAAACCTGGTCCAGGGATGTGCCCTGTTTACACTGAACTGGGCCACTGTGTTCAGCCTGTGAGATGTTAGGTAAATTTGTTCCTGTCATGCTGAAGTTCAGAGAGGCAGCTTTTTCAAGATCATTCCACTGCTCAGTGTTAGAACCAGGTTTTAAGGTCACGTGTAACTGAGCCAGCAACCAAAATAAAATGTATTCAGGAACTTTTTGTTTGTTTGCTTTACTGTTCTGTTTTCAAAAACCTTAGCCCTAAAATAAAATTTTTATCTAGGAAATACGCATTATTCATTACTCACATTCAAAGGGAAGCCTTAGAGGATGGAAAATGTGTATTAGGATGTAATGCCTTTGGAAACGCTTTGCCCCACTGGTGAAACATCCCTTATGTCCAGCCCTGTACACCCTTCAGCAGGGCTCTTGATCTAGTCAGTCCTTGAGTTCTGAAGTTCCACAATATATTCATCTCCTTGGTCACTTAGGTATTCTGAATTCTTTATTCTAAAATATCTCAAATACTATGCAGAGAAGGTGCTTCATTGTCCCACACCCAGCAAGTGAGACCAGCCAGTAACATGGTTTACTCTGCAGGTTGCTTACTTAAAAATGCAACAGTTACCCTATTTTATGCTCATTGTGTTTTCACCAGCATTTTAAATCACTCCCAGCCAGGGTGGATGCCTCAGACAGGTTTACTGGAAATTTTCACTTGCAACTCTGAGGTTCTGTTTTAAATTAAACCGTTTCAAGGGAGTTCAATTTTTTTCCCCAGACCAGCTTATTTTTTTAAGTAAGCAGCCTTCTAAGTTGAGAGATGATTTTAAATTTCAGGTGAGTTCTCAAGATAATGATGATTCTTTAGTGTGTGGGTGAACTCCCACCCAATCCTATTCTTTGGGTAAGAAGGAACTGAAGCTTGGGTGACTAGAGGAGATGGGAGGAAGGCTGTGCAGGGAGTGGGGCAGGGAGTGTGGGGGGTGCACAGACAAACATTGGATTTTGCAGCCAGGTGTTACATTGAACATTAAACTGTTGCCATTTTAGAATTGTACCTTTAACGATAATTTATTTTAATGTGCTATTTATCAGGCACTTACTATAAATTGGGCAGTCTGTTGTTTCTCATCCCTACAATTACTCCAACAAGGGAGTAATTATCCTTTTTATACAGGCCAGGAAGCAGACTCAAAAGTTTAAGTGACCTGTCCAAGGTTAGCTCCCTTTGTTTTTTTTTTTTTTTTTTAATTTTCTAGAGGCATGTCTTATTTATTTATTTATTTATTATTTTGTTTGTTTGTTTGGTTTATACATGCACTGGGTACAGTCAGAAGCATGGGAGGGTGAGAGAATTCACCAGAGCCAGAGCGGGGAGCAGAGCAGGCAGAAGGACCGAAGTACACTGCTGAGGGGAGCAGCGGGCGGCAGGAGAGGTCTGCGCGCCATGTGGGACCCTCCTCCGGTGGCCGGGGAGCAGGCGGGGATCGAACCGGCTGCAGAGGCTGCAGTCAGCTTCGCAACCCAGCGCTCAACCGCTGCGCCACTGGGGAGGCCCCAGCTCCCTTTGTTTTTGATAAAGGACTTTTACATCATCAATTTATATCTCTAGATATATATCTTTATATCTCTTTATATCTCTAAACGTTTATATAGATAAAACGTTTTGCGTCCTAAGGAAAGGGAAGTAACTGTGTTTGCTTTATTGATAAAATACAGGGTGTTCTTCTGACCTCAGTTTGTTCATTCCATAAATTATTTGAGTGCCTATTGTGAGGTGGTACTTTGCTGGGCAAGCAGATAAAAAAGTAAAGACAGTGAGGTGCCTCTCCTTGGAGTTTACAGTCTATGGTAGATAGCCAGTAAAGAAATATAATTATAGATTATGCTGGTTCTCATGTAGGAAACCAAAAGTGATGTGTGTCTGTTTGTGTGATGGGAAGGGTGGCAGGGGGCGGCGACTCCTAAATAGGTGAGGTTTGGGTTGAGACCTGAGGATGAGAGGGAGCAATAACTGCATAGGGACCCTGAGGTGGGAAGCCTCTTGGTGTGCTTGAAGTGTACAGTGAGTGGTGAGAACAGTGGCATGGCATGAATTGAAGGCAGGGACTGGTGGCACATGCAAGGTCTTTAATCACATAAGGAGTTGGAATTTTAATTCTAGAAGGCAACTGGAATCCATTAAAGGCATTTAAGTGTATATATTGGGAGTAGAGGAAAGTAGATGATACCTTGTGGGGGAAAAAAAAAACCTGAGAGAGAAAGGAACTGAAGCTGAGAAGCTAGTTAGAAGGCTGTTCATTTGTCCAAAAAGCCTTTCTAGACTCTGAAAATATGGTCGATCACAGAGTCACTGCCCTTGTGGAGTTCTTATTCTAATTAGAAAAGGCACTTAACAAAAGATATCAGCTAATAATTAGGGTTATGCGTGAAATTACAAAGTGACATTTAAATTGAGGGATGAATGACAAGAAAGGAGCTAAGCATGTGAAGTTTGGGGAGTCCAGGCAGAAAGAATACACAGCAAATTCAAAGGGCCTGAGGAGGGAAGTATGAGTAATAGATGAATGAGGGCAGTTAGACCTCTGTGTGGGCAGAGAAGATGAATATAGGAAGGTGTTACTCTTCAGCTTAAGAATTGTATTTAAGTCACCCAACTGGGGTCTTCTCAGGGGAGGTAGAGAGGATGGAGAAGACAAAGGGCAGCAAGAGACAGTCAAAGCACTCCTAACATTTAAGAACAGAGGGAAGAGGAAGAACTAGCAAAGAGGCTTTGAGGGAGCGGAAAACCAAGGGTACAGAGTTCTGGAAGCAAAGAAATGATTAGAGGGGCTGTGCAGCTGCGGGAACAAATAAGTTACCCCAAATTGAGAAGGTAATTGAGTCCAAAGAACAAAGCAGAGACACCCATTAATCACATTTGAAGTTTATTAAGGGCAACTTCCATATAGGGGGTCCTTGGTCCAGAGCCCCAAATGGATAGGGCTTCAGGTGGAAACAGGATGTACACCAGCCCCCACACAGAGGCCATCTTATACCCTTCTTAGTATGTGTGATTATTCTGGTGTGAGACTAATGATGCCAGATGCCGGGGGTGGGGTGGGGAGACATGCCATGTGCATCTTTGTTCTAAGATTAATAGAGTCACATGTAGATCACGAGTACGGGTTAATACACATGAAAGAAACTCTGGGGAAATTGGCTGTCCTCCCAGGGTAGAGCAATTATTGGTCACAGGCCCAAGATGGTGTTGATACAAGATGGAGTCATTCCAGTTTTTGTGTGTAGGGGAAAGGGTTTCAAAGAGGAGAGAAGGGTCAGTGGTATCTGTACTGCTGGGAGGTTGAGTAAGGTGAAGCTAGAGGAGTGTCAGTTGGACCTGGCCGCTTGGAATTTCTTGATGACTTTGAAAAGAATTGATGGAGTGGAGTGGTCAAACTAGACTGGAGAAGGTTGAAGAGTGAATTAGAGGTTGAGGGAGTCCAGTATTTGGAGAAATTATGATGTAATGGAAAGAAGATAAAAGGACGTGGGCTCAAAATGGGTATTTTGGTGTTGTTTTTCTAAAAATTAAAAGTATCTTACTAGATACAACTCCCATATAAGCTTTTTTTTAAGGTTAAAAAAAAAAAAAAAAACAATTAGCACCCTACATTGTGTTTTGACTCACTGCTTTTCCTGGGAGTTAGTTAATCAGCAAATGGTGGCAGGATGCTGGGCAACAGGACAAACCGTAGAACACCTCACAAATTTGTATCATCCTTGCACAGGGGCCACGCTAGTCTTTTTTTTGTTCCAATTTTTAAAATATGTGCTGCCAAAGCTAACACTCATGTGAACTTTTTTTTTTTTTTAAAGATTTTTATTTATTTATTTTTAAAGATTTATTTATTTATACAAAAATTGGGGTACAGGCCAGATTCAAGGGAGGGTGAGAGGATTCACCAGAGACAAAGTGGGGAGCCGAACAGGCAGACTGATGAAATACACTGCTGAGGGGAGCAGTGGGCTCGACAGGAGAGGTCTGCTGCGCCATGTGGGAGCCTCGCACGCTGGCCAGGAATGAACCAGCGCTGCAGAGGCTGCAGACAGCTTCACAGCACTGTGCTCAACTGCCTGCGCCACCAGGGGAGGCCCCACATGAACTTTTAATAACCAGAGAAGTATACAGATTTTAAGTGTACGGTTTGGTGAGTTTTCATAAAGTAAATATAGCCTTCCATCTACTGGCCTACCCCTTAGGGAAACCACTACCCTGATTTCTAATACCATAAATCGGTTTGCCAGTGTTTGAGTTTTATATAATTCTGACCATTTAGTACATATTGGTACCTGTCTTTCAGACTGTATTTATAAGATTCATCTGTCCTTTTTCATGTAGCGTAATTTGTTTATTCTCGTTGCTGTTGCAACATACTGTAATTTACTTCTCCATTGCATTGATGGACACTTGGATCATTTCTAGTTTGACTCTGACAGTAGTATGGCTAAGAATGTTACTGTATACTTCTTAGGGGGAATGTATTTCTGTTGTATGTGCCTAGAAGTGGAATTGCAAAACTAAGGGGTATGCGTGTGTATGTGTATTTTCAAAGTGGTTGTACCAATTTACACTCTGGCAATGTTGGAGTTACTCTGTCTCCTCAGCAACACTATCTAGCCTTTGTCTTTCATTTTAGCCATCCAGTGAGTGCTGGGCAGTAAAACACTGTGGTTGTAATTTGTATTTACCTTATGACAAGGGAAACTTTTAAAATCTGGTTGACTCTGAAGTATACCTGTGTGCTAATGAGAGTGTCATTGGAGATGAAAGTTTCAGGGGATGTGGGCTGCAGAGTAGACAGATTTTTTTTTTTTTTAAAGAATCGGGAACTCTCCTTAGAGCCTATGAGTATAGGCTTCAGGGATTAAGCAATCTAGCTTTAAATCCTGGGTTTGCTACCCTCTAGCTCTGGCCTTTAGCAAGTTACTTCTGAACCCTGGTTTTCTCCCCTAAGAACAGGGAGAATTAATCTATCTTGCCAGAATTGTGAGGATCATTGCAATAACACTAAGTAGTACCTAAAAATCATTCTTCCAATGGAGAATGACCACTTTCTCCTTTACATCTTAAAATATGTAATTACTTATCAATTATTTCAAAGAGGCATAGCTAAGTGATATTGATAGACATTTTCACAGCATTACCTTCCATAGCTATTGCAGTTGTACTTTAATTGCTTTTTAAGGATAATATATAAGATGAAACAAAGCCCATTGTGTATTAGTGATCAATAATGTAGGGTACTTTGCTTTATGCACTTACAGCATACATGCTTTTAACAATTCCAGGAATACAGTAGTCGCAGTAAGCAAACTATCCCTCAATACACTGGAGGTGATTCTGTAAGCCTTGACATCTAGCAATTTGTGATTTATCGGTTCTTTCAGAACTGGGGCATTGTAACCGGGTATTTTTAAAGGATTTTTGTAAAGTCTATAGAGCGGGCATAGGTTTATTACTTCCAGGATGTTGCGCCTGTGCTGTTGTTGCTACAGTAGTCAGCCCACAGAGTTGCTTCAGTGAAAACATATTGGATGGGAGGCTTGGGATTGACATTGCCACCTTAGTTTTTGATGGTTAGCAGTTAGCAAGGTGGTTTTGGAGTTGCACTGCAAAGTGCATCTAGTTTTAGTGGGACCTGGACATTCTGACCCTTCTACAGTGTGAGACCACTACCACCCTTCCCTGGATGGAAAGCCCATGACAAACTTTGATCTGCTTAAAAGTATTTGTCTTGGGCAAATGAACAAGTGGAGAAGTGATTGTTTTTTAAAAAATTGCTTAGGATTCTTGGACTTAATAGGGGAGAAATCACATTATCTCCTCTCTTGCCTCTCTGACTGTACTCAGCCTGCTGGGCTAGGCACTCACCTTACTCTAATGTTCCTGCTCAGCAGAGCTCAGTCTCCCAAGATGTACCAGCTAATAGAATTCCATGTGCTAGCTAGCCATTCTTGCCTCATTACTAAGGGACTAGTAAATTATCTTGCTCATTTCAGCCAGCCCTATATCTCCCATCATTCTCCCCTCTAGGCAGAATGGAAGAAGAGAGCCTGGCAGGTTTCATACAAACAGTAAGAGAGCAGTCAAAGACTGTTTGAGAACTAAGTTGCCAAATCCATCTTTTCTGAAGAGGGTGAAGGAATTTTCAAGCCCTCAGTGAAGATTTGTCAATGATTTTCTTTCAAGATCAGAAAGAGATTTGTAGATCAGTGAAGGTACTCAAAGGAGTAACCTTAGGGAGACATGTTACACCCACAGTTCGTTCTACTTTCAACCCCCTAGTAAAGTAATCAGATGCCATGTGTGCATGTTTACATATCTGAGGGATGAAAAAAATATTTCCAAGAGAAAAGTGTTTCGTTTGTATGGCAGTGTTAAAATTACAAATTCTTTCATTTTATTCCCTGAAATAATCCCAAGTATAGTTGTTATTTAGGCTTAGAATGTTCCATTTTGTTAAGAGTGTGGTTTTACTGAAATGCTTCTTTTTGGTACTTAAATATATGTCAGAAAGAATAAAAGCTCAGTTTGCTGATTTTGCTGAAGCTGTTCTGTGAAACTGAGCAGGACTTGGGCATTGTAGCACCAGGGACTCTTTCCATCTGTTTTTACATAACTCCTTCCCCACATAAGCACATCTTCAGGATAAGACTCCATTCTCCACCAAAACCTGGGGCCCATGAAATAACAGAATGGCAGTTTTCAAATCTACTCCCAGAGCCAAGTCCTTGTACGGGTAGGTAATTGCCTCTAAAAGAAAAGCCAGCAGTTTTTCTTTCAGAGCTGTTCAGAGCAGGCAGTTAAAATTAGAAAGCAAGTTGAGAAAATGAAAACAGTGTTGAGAAAGGTAGGTTCTCTGGACACCTAGCAAAGAAAGATCTTGTACCAGGATGGCCAAACTGAGCAGTGGTGCCTTACTAGCCCCAAAATCCCCTGTGGGCAAGGTCCTGATCCAAATCACTTTAGTACGCCCGTGCCCATCTCCTGCTTTCTAAGTGCTCTTAAATCGCTAATCACTTCAATCACTGAGTGCTAATAAATTTATACAGTATACCGCTGGCCAGTTTCTCTCTACTGATTGTGTCTTACTAAAGGGGTCTGTCCATCATGTGGCAAAGTTCTTTCTTACCTGTTAGAGGAAAATTACAACATGTAAAATTGTAACATGTAAAAAATTGCAACTCGCAGACTTCTTATGAAAGAAAAGTTTTCGTCTTGTAGTTAAATATATCTCCCCTTATTTCATTCTTTCACTTTTCTCTGCTATAAGTTTATATAGTGCTGGAAACTTTTGATTACATGTCTTCCACTTGGTACCACTCTCTGGTGAAAAAGGTAACCTTCTTCCCGCCCAGGAGTAGTTCAACTACTAACCTGTCACATGACCACTTTTTTTTCCCTACTCCTGCCTCTTACGCCCATCATTTTTTGCCACCTTCCCTTTCTCTATAATCTCAGTCTTTGGGGGTTTCCTCTCCAGCCTAATAAATATGTTCATTTATCTTAGTGACTCTGGATCCTCTTCAGCTACTGCCTTCTCTTTCCATTAGTCAGAAGCCTCTCTCCTGGTCTTGGCTCACACCCTCACCTCACCTGTGCCTGATGTCTACACACCAGCCTCCAGATATCTTCCCTGCCCAGTCATTTGGCTCTCCCCTTCTCTGCTCACAGTCAAAAGTTTGTTGAAAGAATAATGCTCATATCCTTCCTTGGATTCTTTCAAATCCTCATTCATTCACTTGCTAGTCTGTGGTTATCAGTCAGCTTGTCTTCCTAAACTGTTCAGACAAAGAGCATACACACATTTTCCAAAAACTGGGTGTTTGGCTTCCTTGTTGAATCTACTCTCTGGATCGCTGGACAGCCTTGATGATTTCCTTTTGAAACTCAAAATACTCTTCAGGTTCTCCCACCTCTGAGCATTCTTCCTTCTGCTGCTGCTGGCTGGCTTTCCTCTGCTTGCCCTTCAGACCAGGGGTTTTCAGGGTTCCCCCCAGGCATTCTATCTCTTCTCTTCTGATCCAGACTGTCTAATCAGTCTTCTGGCTCTACATACTTCCAGAAGGCTGAGGGTTTTCAAACTCTTATCTTCAACTGATAACCACCCGTCCCCCCGCCCCCAACCTTGTACTGTATATTCATCGTTATGTCCCACGGGTTCAAGACTCATGTTCTTAACCTCCCCGACCCCCATACCTCCTCCTGAAGCCTTTATCCTAGCTTAAAGATCACACTCTCTTTCCTATTGTGTAATTCAGAGACCCTGGGATTTTTCCAAGACTGTTTTCTCTTCTCCTTCCCCAACCTCTTTGGCCAATTAACAATCTTGCCAGTACTGTCAAAGATCTATGACATTTCTCTTAGGCTCAGGCCTCATGTTTGCCTCTTGACTAATTGAAAGTGCCTTTGTTAAAAGATGTTAAGCTGGGAGGAACTAAGAAGCCAACTGGCTTCTTCAGAGGAAAAGAGAGAGGTCCAGCAGGGGGAAGCAACAGCCTGGTCCACAAGGCTCCAGCCCGAGGCCTTTGTAGCTTCCTGTGACAGAATTCACTCACTTCAGTGGGTGTGTCTGAGTAACACCTGTGTTCCCTCTCCTGGGACCTCCCCCACGGGAACTGGAACCACCACAGTCACTGCCGTGCCCGGCAGGTAGGTGGCGGTGCTCAACAGGACCACTGGATGAATGAATCACACAGTATTTAGATCTTAACTAACCACTTACTTGTTCCATTGCCTACACACCAAGAACATTTCCCTCTGACTCACTATTACTTGTCTGAAGACTCAAGTTCCCAGAAGACAGGGACCTAATCTGCCTTACTTGCATTTAATAGTTCACATGGATTAATAAAGCAAAGAACCACTAAATAAAAGAGTTTCTTTGTTGGCAAGGTTATTTATTGGCCACAACAGTGGAGCAGGAGCCCTCCGAAAGAGGAATTTTATAATTCTTTGCATCTTCTGTTGACAGAAGCATCTGACTTACACAAAGAACGTAGAATCTGGAATCAAAAGACCCGGGTCCCAAGTCCTGCTCTATAACTTATAAACTGTGTGTTGCTGACCTCTAACAAGTCATACCCTTCCTGTACTTCATTTTTCTCATCTGGATATTCTCCAGGCTATGAAGCACTAAATGAACATAGTGGCAGCTACCAGCATTGTAACAGTGCTTTAGTTACAATTTCTCGGGGAAGGCACAGGTAAAATGTAAGGAATTTCACCACAATTATTATTTGGCTTTCTGGCCTTGACCCCAAAAGAGGTAAATAGCTCTTTCACAGAATTAGCAGGATTTGTCAAATAACTGTATGAAGTGGGAGGAGGGAGGAGGACTTGACCAGTCCTGAGACAGAATTATGAGTAATTCACTAACTCCTGTCAAAACCTGTACTCATTCATGCATCCAACCTTTATGGAAGCCATGTCTTGCTGTTGCCAGTGCCAGGTGAATGGGTACATACCCCCAAGAAGGGGTTGATGGTCTAGGAGGGGAACTAGAAATGTAAAACCAGAAATTGAAATTTTAGGATAATCAGTGTGTGTTAATATGCTTGTACAGTGTGTGGGGGTTACAAAGATGGAAGTGATCAGCTCCTTAGAGGTAGAGGAGTAAGCGTAAGATTTTCCAAATGAGATTGCCACACATATGCTGATGTGAGGATACTTTGGAATTTACCAGAAAGCCAAGAATAAAGGAAATTTTCAAGAAAAAACAAACAGCATGCACCATTACATTAAAGAAACTACAAAATGGGGCCTCCCTGGTGGCGCAGCGGTTGAGCGCTGGGTTGCGAAGCTGCCCGCAGCCTCTGCAGCGTCGGTTCAATCCCAGGCTGCTCCCCAGCCACCGGAGGAGGGTCCCACATGGCGCACAGACCTCTCCTGCTGCCTGCTGCTCCCCTCAGCAGTGTACTTCGGTCCTTCTGCCTGCTCTGCTCCCCTCTCTGGCTCTGGTGAATTCTCTCATCCTCCTGTGCCTCTGACTGTGCCCAGTGCTTGCATAAATAAATAAATAAATAAATAAATAAATAAATAAATATTTGAAAAAAAGAAACTACAAAATGTTTGGATGGAACAAGAGTAAGGGCTAGGGATGGGTGAGGGTACAGCAAATAAAGAAGCAGCCATTAAAAACCTTGTACTGCATGGGAAGGAGTCTGGACATTCTCCTGTATGTAATGGGACTCTATTAGGGATTCGAGCCATGAGGTTTTGTGATCTTACTTGCATTTTTAGAGAGGGTGCTATGACATTAAGTGCTGTGGAGAACAAAACAGCAAGGTGTGGGCTAGAAACAAATGGGTAGGCAATGGAACAAGTAAGTGGTTAGTTAAGATCTAAATACTGTGTGATTCATTCATCCAGTGGTCCTGTTGAGCCATCTACCTGCCGGGCACGGCAGTGACTGTGGTGGTTCCCGTTCCCGTGGGGGGGTCCCAGGAGAGGGAACACAGGTGTTACTCAGACACACCCACTGAAGTGAGTGAATTCTGTCACAGGAAGCTACAAAGGCCTCGGGCTGGAGCCTTGTGGACCAGGCAGTTGCTTCCCCCTGCTGGATCTCTCTCTTTTCCTCTGAAGAAGCCCGTTGGCTTCTTAGTTCCTCCCAGCTTAACATCTTTTAACAAAGGCATTTTCAGTGAGTCAGGAGGCAGAACAGAAAGTATCATTATTTTGTGTGAACTGGTTATTGAGTAATAACTCCTAAAGTTATATTTATTATCTCTGTGCAGTGAGTTCAGGTTCAAAGTGTCCAGTATTGCCTGCCTTGGTCTACTGAGAAAAGCACACTCTTACTTTATCACAACAATGCTTGGCATTTTAGTGGACCCTCTTGCCATCTTTATGTAACTCTAACATTTGAGGGATTGTATCCTCTTTGTTCCCAGTACTTGTATTTGATATGTAGAATGGGGATAATAATCCAAAATCTCTTAATAAGCCCACAGTGGTACTGATTCAGCAAAGACGCAAACATTTGCTGAGTATCTGCTATGTGCACCACTCTGCCAGGGTGTAGTGCAGACATAAATAAGAAGTGGTCCCTGCTCTGAAGGAATTGATGGTTCAGTGGTAGAGAACAAAGGGTAAACATATCTGTGCAAGAAACTGTTACAGGTGCTGTGAAGGAACTTAGGTAGGATTGAAGATACAAATGTAAGAGTGCTGCCCACAGAGGAAGGAAAGCCAAGGGGCAGGTGGAATAGGGAAAAGAACATCGAGGTTTAGAGTTAAAAGGCCTGCGTTTTCAGAATCTCAGTTCTCTATTCATTAGCCTTGTGACCTTGACTTCTTTGAGCCTGAGTTGTCTCGTCGACAGAAAGGAAATAATGCCTCCGTCCATGGCCAGAGTGTGTGTATAATAAATTTCTGTCTGAATTTTAAGGGCAAAGCCAGGTTCCAGAATAAAGTGAGTGTTAGGCTACTTGTAATTGGTGGGGCAGGAAAAGATTTTCTTTGACGTTAGATCTCAGATTAAACCCAGAGATCAGCAGCCTTTCCAACTTAGTGTGCTAACTTGGCAGCCGGTGTTGTCCTCACAGCCCAGGTGTCTATACTCACCTCTTAAGTGCAATGGCAACTGTGGTGATAGAGGAGGGGACTCTCGCCTCAGCTCTGATGCAGGTGTGGATTGAGTATCCCTGCACACCTATGCCCTTGGGAGTTAAACAGCACTCGAGGTGTGTCTTAACTCTAGCCTTTTCCCCTTTCTCCCTTGCACCAGATTTTATCATGTGGGCAACCTGCTGCAACTGGTTTTGCCTGGATGGACAGCCTGAGGAGGCCCCACCACCCCAGGGAGCCAGGACACAGGCCTATTCCAACCCTGGCTACAGCTCCTTCCCTTCTCCATCAGGCTCAGAACCAAGCTGCAAGGCCTGTGGGGCCCACTTTGCGAACATGGCCAGGAAGGTAAGTGTTGCCTATTTTGGTGCTACAGCCTCAGGCTCTCAGGTAAGCCTGCTGACACCCTCTCCAACTCCTGCCACACTGCCTTTGCTGAGCAATGCTGATTATCCAGACCTGTTCTGTCAGGAAAATACAGAAGAAGAGCTAACTAAGCAAAGCCCAGGACCTCAATCTTGATTTGGAGCTAAGGAGACCTAAATTCAGATGGCAGCTTTTCTACTTACTGTGGGATTTGACCTCTTGAGGTTCGTTTTCCCCATCTCTAGAGTGATTGTACCCATTTCATAGTGTTGCAAGAATAAAATAAGCTGTGAAGGGTGTCCAGCACGATGCTTGGGTAATGACAGGCACGCAGTGTTAGCTCCTTTATTGGTTGCCACCATGAAAAGCCTGACTGCAGGTTAATTTGTTCTTTTTGTCAAAGGCAATGTCAGGGATGCCTCAGGTACATCAAGACCCTAACAAGTCGAAGACTGGAGCCTATTTATAGTAGCAGATTTTACTCGAGGCCGGCAGCTTTGCTTTCCAGATTATCAAGGCAGAAGTGAAGTGACCACCATTCTCTGTGGTCAGGAATGACTGGGGCTGAAGGTAAACCCTGAACTAGAGAAGGAATTCCTACATTCTGCATTCTTCTGCAGAATGTGAGACTTGCAGGTCAGAAAGTCATGTTAAAATGGTGATAATGGGAAATTTGAAAGAAAAAAATACACTTTTTAGACCATCTACTATATACCAGGGACAATTTAAAGCATTAATTCTGATGTAGTAACTCCATGACATTGGTTTTAGGGTCCCTAGATTTTCATTTTATACCTGAGAAACTGAGACTTAGAGTAGCAGTTAAAAGGGAAAAACTCTCTGTGTCAAGTTCCTGACAAATAGCTTGAGAGACATTAAAAATACTCATCCTTATCCTTCTACTTAGGTAGTGCCCCAAGAGCACACAGTTATTAAATGGCAGGTCCAGTTTTCAAACACAGTTCTGAGGCCCAAAGCTATCTCCCAGAAGACATTCCGCACATCAGAATTTCTGCAGCTTGAAGCGCTGACTTCCCACCCTCTTTACCAGGAAGGTGGTGGAGGACCAGTGCATTGGCATTTTGTCTGTGGGTGGCATTTGGCCTAAGTGTCATTGTAGTGCAGTGAAGGTGGGCACATTGCTATGATTTACCTGGCTGCCCAGTCACTATGAGAACTCAACTAGAGTAGTGGCAGGGGGCCCTGGATCTATAACTTGATGGGCTGAGGCGCCCCTCTGAAAGATTGAGTCAATAGGTCGAGACTGAAGCAGAGGAAAAAACACGAGGTACTTCATGGCCATTTAGCCTTTTCGATGAGGCAGCAGGTGGGGCATAGTTATTGGGTACCTGTCATGTGCTAGGCACTGAGCTTGGCATTTCAAATGCATAACCTTATTGAACAGTCTGTGAAATACGAACTGTTATTTGTAAACATATTACAAAGAAATTGTTCTCTTTATCTAACTAGTATTTTCAAGGCCTCCTTAGGTACATCAAGAGTTTGTTGAATGGCCAAGGGCTGGTTGTTTTCATTATTTTATGCTTGAGAAATTCTAGGAACAACTGCTGGTAAAAGTGGCAAAGTCGTTGTTCAGAAAGGAATACGAAAGACCCTTTTTTAAATGAGGCAGGTGAATTTGCACTAGGTTATTTGAACCTATTTTCTTCAACGTGAGTTGTGCCCTGGAATGGAGATGGTAAAAGAGCAAAAAGGTGTTGGTGGTGATCCAAACTTGGGGCTCAGCTTGTCAAACATGTTGAAAATCTGAGAGAAGGGGGCCTCCCTGATGGTGCAAGGGGTTAAGTCTCAGCATTATAAAGCTACCAACAGCCATGGCAGCACGAGTTTAATCCCTGGCCAGGGAGCTAATCTACACGGGGCAGCAGACCTCTCCTGTCTCGCTCACCGCTTCCCTCAACAGTGTATTTCAGTAGATCCGCCTGTTCTACTCCCCACTCTGTCTCTGGTGAATCCTCTCACCACCACCCCTGCACCTTTGGCTTACACCCCAACTCTTGTATGCATAAATACATCTTTAAAAATAAGAAAAAAAAAGAAAATCGGAGAGAAGCAGGGGTTCTAGCAATTTCTTGACACTGCTAAGTTAGAAGACAGGATGTGAATAAGAAACCTTCCCCAGAGAGAAGAGAGTAACAGCTAGGTCTGGTGGGGAACATGCTTTATTTTTCTTTATAGTGATTATCACCACATCATACATACATGTTTGTTTGTTTTTTTAAAGATTTATTTATTTATTTGTACAAGCACTGGGTACAGTCAGAAGTGCGGGAGGGTGAGAGGATTCACCAGAGCCAGAGCAGGGAACAGAACAGGCAGACTGACGAAATACACTGCTGAGGGGAGCAGTGGATGTGGCAGGAGAGGTCTGTCGCGCCATGCAGGACCCTCACTGGTGACGGGGGATCGAACCGGCACTGCTGAGGCTGTGGGCAGCTTCACAGCCCAGCGCTGAACCGCTGCTCCACCAGGGGAGGCCCCATATATACATGTTTGTGGATTGCCCATCTTCTCAAATGGTACATAGCATCACTGATTTTGTCAGTTTTGCTTACAACTTTGTCCCTGGTGCCTAGAATAGTGACTGACATATAGCAAGTAGAAAACAGAACTTTTTATTGTAACCTTATTGGACAGTTGAGTTAAGAACAATTCAAATAAGAATAGGCAGTCCAGACAGTTTCTCTTTTCAAAGTGGGAAGATTCCATTTATAAAGAATCAGGTACTAGCATTTGGAGGCATAGGTGATAATTCTTGCTAGACGAACAAAGCTTGATTTGCAAAGCAAAAAAGTAAAGGCACCAGATGTAGGACAAGTGTGGGATACATTTGTGAACTGTGAGTGGCCTATGTGAACAGAGTGCAGGGTGCTTGAGAAATGAGGGTCGGGTTGGGGTGAGGCAGTTACGGGCCATGACTGCCATGGTAAAGAGTTTGTGGACACCAGACCACAAGGAACCTTCAGGAAGATTTTGAACAAAGGCAGGTATGATCATTTCTGTTTCAGTAGAGTGATGCAGCTGCAGCAGGAGGGAGTTGGGGTAGAGTGGTAGGAATAGCACTTTGGAAGCCCTTGTGCAGCTGGTGAGAAGTTCTCCACGCCTGGCCTAGGGTGGTGACTGACTGAGCCATGTAGCTACCACTTAGTAAGCACCTTTTCATGTCTGCTCCTGTGTGTAGTATTTGTTCACCCATTTTACAGATGAAAAATCCAAGACTCAGACACTAAAGTACTTAGCTACGAAGATATAAGGACATACAGCAATGAAAACAGGTGAAATGCACAAGAAGGAGGTCAAGTGAAGATGACAGGATCACCTTCCAGATGCTAGGGGAAATTCCCTCTATTCCTTGGAAAATAAATTATTGACTATCTACTGTATATCTAATGTATGTGGTCCATTGCCTGGGCTAAGGAGATGGAGATGGAAAAAATCACGGAGCTTGCAGATGGGGCAAATATGCAGTAGTACAGAGATTAAAAAGCTTCTGTAGCAGGAAGCGCTCTTAGGGTGAGAGGGGAGTTCCAATTTGGATGGAAAGGTGGTCATTGTGATACTATTTTCTTGCCAGAAATGTGTGAATTCTGTGCGGTTCACAATGAACTTTGTGAATATTAAGCATGTTGTCTCCTATGAGAATTTTTCATTTGTAATTTCATGCTTAAGTGGATCAACATTCTTATCTTAAGGGTTTGGCATTTAACAGCTGCAAGATTTTAAAATGTCTTTTCTAGAAGTGGTTGAACTGAAATGACTACATGGATTCTGCTGTCCTTTTTTCTTTGCTTCATTGTGGTCAGTATTTTGTGAATGCTCTTTGAGTACAGGACACAGATGGCATTAAGGACTCTACAGAGAGAACATCCCCTGCTGCCTTGGAGTTTCTGGTCTTGGAGAGAAAAGGCAGGCTGTAATTTTGCCACAAACAAAATATCTATCTGTTCTGGTAACACCTACACGTGGTTTAGCAGCAGCCTTGCCAGATTTGGAGGCAGTTTGGCCCTCGCCTCTTTAGTTGTACCAGTTTGAGGAGGAGGAGGAGGCTGTGCTTGGAAACATGGAAGAGACACCCAGATCCGGGAGTGGAGAGTGGAGCGACTCCTAGGACCAGTGGAACCTCTGAGACAGGCGACAGGGACAGGGACAGATACAAGGTAACTGGTGCCTTTTCTTGAGTGCCCACCCTGTGATCTCAGTGGACACTTCATCAGTCCTTAGAGGTGGGTTGACCGTCTGCCTTCAAAGATCTGGGAGGTTACGTTTTACACAAGTTCCCTTAGCCAGGAAGTGACTGGCTGGATTTACTCCTAACCGTGTCCCTTCCCAGGCTGCCATTTTCCCTCCCAGCGGGCCACAAGAAGGAATGCCTGTAGAAGAGGCTGTAGGGTATGAAAGTGAGCCAGGTCTGGGTTAGGAAATATGTGTGGAGAGGGCTCAGGAATAAGAGAAGGAAAGGTTGGCAAAGGGGAGCAAAACAGGCAGGCCCCCTGAAGGGCACTACCTACTGGACTTTTTGATGTTGGCAGTGCGGTTCTCCTGGCATTTCTGCAGGCACATGGTTCTGCTAGTTCATCTTTCATGCTACCTTGTTACTGAGTTTGTTTGCAGCCTTTGCTGAAGTTTGTACATAGGTGTTCCCTTTGTTCATTCAGCATATGTTTGTTGACAACTATTTTTTCCCCCTTTTTCCTTTTTTCTCTCCTTCCTCTGCAAACTGAGCTTTTAGGGTGTGTTTCAGATGCAGGCTTACTTCAGAGTCCCTGGTGAGCTGGGACACCAAGAAGCTGGGTTGCTGTCATTGCATTCTGATCTTCATCCACTAAACCTCACATGTTTGAAGAAAGAATAGAGAGTTGTTTAAATCTGACTGATTGAGCAACTTGGGACTTTTTAATTGTGTCAAGCTATGTCTTTTCAGACTGCAGTGACTGAGGCAGTGTTCCATGTCAGGGCCTACAGCTTTATGGCACCGAAGCCTCTTCATTTCGCTATCATTCATCCTAAACACATTTCATTTCCCAATAGAAAAGCTTTAGATATGAATAAGCCCCCAATACCTCAAAGCATCTTTTTCCACCTGGGTGGCTGCTAGTCCCAGAACCGTTATGTTGCTGGTGCAGCCATGCATCCTTTCAAGTTAGTCTCTGAACATTTTATTGTGTGGTTATAACTGTGTAGAGAATGAGGATGTTTAATATATATTGCAACGCCTTCTAAGTATTATTAGGCAAAACTGGGTGGTAACATGCTGTCCGTTTTCCTTCACTTACACAAGTGACACAGACAAAACTCAATAGACCTCTTGGCCATGCAGACTTAACACCTCCACCTCACACCAGAGTACCTGTGAGCTCCACTATGGGCATACAAGTCTCTTGGGCTTTCTTTTTAGCTTGCATAGCTTTCTATACTTAGAAAAGGGGGAGCAGAAATATGTAATGTCTATGTCACCATGGCTTGAAAAGTTTTTCTTTGAAAGATTAGTGAGTGTGCCTCCCAGGATCATCCCAGCATGCCTAGGAGTTACTTCTCCTGTGGGAACATGACCAGTCTTGGCCAGAACAGCCCCAAAGAGATGTCACTGCTCGCTCAGTCTATGGGGCAAGAGGCTGGGGATAGGCTTCCTGTGAGTTGAGTAAGCCTTGCAGTGTTGTATTGTCTATGATTGTGGGAGTAGTTACTGCCAGGCAGTACCAGCTTGCCTGCCAGGCACTCTTGTCACCCATCTGAGACACTTTGTACTTTTTCAAATGAGAATTCACTAATCATGTCCAGAGGGCCTCCTGGAGCTGTCTAAATATTTGTCTTGGATATGCTCTTCTGTACCACTGAATTGCCTTCCTGGGATGGGGGAACCTGGACACCAGCTCCTGAGGATGGGGCTTTGGCTCAGGAGTTTGAAGATGGAGAGCCAGGCTTTTGACTCACTAGAACTGCGTCATTGCAGGGGCTGAATTAGGAAGCGTGACCCAGGGAAAGAGCATGATTGTGGGCACTGAACTCCTGCAGACCTCATCCCCTGCCTGCCCTTGAATAAAATCTCCTTAGGCCTCTGATGCTTTGTGATGCTAAGTACTTGAATACTTAATTTGAGGGGTTTCTTTGAGAAGCAAATGGCAAGCTAAGTATCGTTCTACCTAGTTATGCCTCAGTAAATTTAATTAATAATATTAATTGTGACTACCACCACCACGCTGCTAACCTTTATGTATTTCTTTTTTTTTTTTTTAAAGATTTATTTATTTATACAAGCACTGCGTACAGTAGAAGCACAGGAGGGTGAGAGAATTCACCAGAGCCAGAGCGGGGAGCAGAGCAGGCAGAAGGACTGAAATCACTGCTGAGGGGAGCAGCAGGCGGCAGGAGAGGTCTGCGCGCCATGTGGGACCCTCCTCCGGTGGCCGGGGAGCAGCCAGGGATCAAACCGGCCCTGCAGAGGCTGCGGGCAGCTTCGCAACCCAGTGCTCAACCGCTGCGCCACCAGGGAGGCCCACCTTTATGTATTTCTTGTCTCAGCAATAAAGTAGAAAGAATCATAGTTTAGAATTTGAGTCCTGGCTGTCATCATTAGCTTGTTTTTCCTAGCAACAGTAATAAAACATTTAACGCTCAAGCAAGGGTGTTGTCTGTTAATTTACAACTATCCAAAGAGTTAGATAACTGTTGTCACCCCCATTTTACAGATGAGGAAACTGAGGACCAGAGAAGCTAAGTTACTTAACCAAGGTGATACCACAGGAAATGTAGGAGGGAGACTTAATACAGGGCTTTTTGATTATAAAACTGATGATAGTCATAATTAATAGCATTTATTTTTCCTGTCAGTAAAATGAATAAAATAAGCCTCCAATGGAAAAATAAATGTAGCATCCTGTACATGGATACACAGGTGCTACTCACTCAGAATGTGCAACACCACAGAGGTCTCCGTAGGTTTGGCAGCTGTCAGGTCCCATCCCATTCTTTGTCTTGTTCTCACAATCTGACATGGTGTCCTGTGCCTCTTGCTCTAAGCAGCAGACCTGCTTGGACTGTAAGAAAAATTTCTGCATGATCTGTTCGAGCCAAGTGGGGAATGGGCCCCGTCTCTGCCTTCTCTGCCAACGATTCCGAGCCACGGCCTTTCAGCGAGAAGAGCTCATGAAGATGAAGGTGAAGGACCTGCGGGACTATCTGAGCCTCCATGACATCTCTACAGACATGTGCCGGGAGAAAGAGGAGCTGGTGCTCTTGGTGCTTGGCCAGCAGCCCGTCACCTCCCAGGAGGGCAGGACTCGTGCCCCCACCTTGTCCCCAGACTTCCCCGAGCAGCAGGCCTTCCTGACCCAGCCGCACACCAGCACAGCGCCTCCTACCTCACCCAGCCTCTCCGCCTCCTCACCGGCACAGGCCACCTCTGTTCCCCTGGCCCGGGCTCAGGAGAATCAGCAGGTATGTCCCTTTGCACTCGCTGCCAGCTTGAGGGCTCATTTCCTCTCCTGTCTGCCTTGTGGGAGTAGGGTGTGAGGTTAAGAGTCTTGACTGTGTGAGGCGTTTCTCCCTACTGATGATGAATGAATGATGTTTTCTGGACACTAGAATTATGTTTTCGCTTTTTTCAGAGATGATAGTACATGGTGGGGGGGGTGGGGAGAGCAGGGTGTGTGTGTGGGGGGGGGTGGAGATGTGTATAAGAAATACACAGCCCAGTCAGACATTTCAAAAAAATTCTGTTTCAGACAAATTTCAAAAGAACTTATCATTAGCATTCCAAATTTAGTTCTATTCAGCTTGCCCTCCAACTTACCTTTGTTGTGGCCTGCCTTAGCTGTATATGCAACTCGGTTCCTTAGTTATCATCATAGAAAGAAGAAGGAACCTGGAGGGGGAGGGGGACAGGCCAGTGGGGGGACACCATGATGAACATGGAGGCTGCGTCAGGCAGCGCTTGGCTTAGTGTTGACAGTGAGCTGCCCTACCCTCCCAGGAGGGCCTGCTGATGGCAATGCCTGAAGAAGTACCAAGAACAGGATTTTCTGTCCTTAGAAAGTCCTTGAAGAGGAAAGGTGGGAATGCAAAACAACTATTGGATTAGAGCGAGGCCAGAGGGTTGGACCAGCTGGCAGGGTCTCACGGATGCCCTCAGTGCCTTAGTGGCCCTATTGTTAGATGGCTTGGCAACACAGGGGAGGCCAGGACCCAGAAGATACGGTTCCCCACTGGCTCCATGGTCACCTTGGGCAGACTTTGAGCCCTCCATGATAGATGGAATTAGTCCTTCCACACCACTTTTCCTCTTGCCAAGTTGTTAGGACAGTTGGCTGGCATGATATCCCATCTAATGAGCTCTGAGCTGCTTAGAGCTGGCATAGTGCTCGTGTTGTCAGTCTGCATGCAGGATGTGGGTGGCTGCTGCCTGTCGTTCGTGATCACCTCCTGGGCCAGGACCGGACCCCCTGATTCAGCTCCTGGCAGGCACCACGGCATAAAGGCCAATGTAACAGTCTAATTTATCTGCTGTAAACTCATCTAGCTCCCTGCTGACATGTCTTCACCCTGCTGCCTTTAGCTCTTTCCTGAGCTCTCTTATCTGCCAGGTAGGCTTTACCTCCACTATGGCTTCTCTTGGCTTGGTTCTTTTGAATACGCCTCACTGATCATGGGCAATTAGAAGAGGACCTTGGGAAAATAGTTTTTTCCCTGAAGAACCTTCTGGTGAGTTTTTCAGTGAAAGGAGGTCACAAACTTCCTGTCATTAACCAGAATATTCCAGACTGTACCTACAGGTCATACTCCATACCAGCTTACAGTGGGTACTTTTCCTCTGATGTTTTCCAAGGGCCTTCATGTCAGCTCACATGCCCTGTTCTGCTGAGACCTGCATTTTTTCAAGGCAGAGTAATGGACATGGAGAAGTGAAATACTTTGTGTAAGGATCCCTGAAATTCCTCAAGTGAGCTGTACCTAGAATACATGCAAGTCTTGAGGTGCTTGCTCTCCCAGGGCACTTTCTTTTATCTTTAATGCCCTAGCACAGTTGCTAGGGAAGCAAGTGTGTGGAATAAGCAAAACTGAAAAGAATTTATTGAGTTTCCTTTAGCCTGTTGATAAACTGAAAAGAGAATGTTTTGCAGCATGAGGAAAAAGGATATACAAAAGTTGTCTAAGGAACAGGTTAGGTGCTGCAAATCTTTTTGTGACTTGAAGATGATACTATTCTGGAGGCTAGAGGGTACAGCTTACAAATAGCTAAGAGAAAAGTAGAGGTGTTGATGAGGACGCTGTGTTGGGTGCTGCAGCCCCGGACACGTGTGCTGTGCAAGTGAACTCACCATCATCTGACAATCATTGGACTTGGTGGTGGTGATTTCTACTCTTCTGTTGTAGCTGCTGACCTCTTCTTACTTAGCTCCAGTATCTGGGGTGACTGGTTTCCCAGCCCCTTTGGAAGGAGCAATGGGTGGAGGAGCCTGGTTAAGGAGTTTGTGACTTAAAAGGTGATGGGATTAGGAGGCTCACAGTTGTAACTACTCTGGCAAAACCTGAAGAAGTACCTAGGAGGACGCTTGAGAATTAGAATCCTAAGCAGAATGAAACTCCTTAAGCAGAGTCATTTGTCTTTTATAGTCTTAGGCTAATAAATTCTTAGATGCATGAAAATAATTTTTTACTAGATTTCAAGACAGCTCTTTTTGTAGTGTGCCCCTCCGGTTGAAACCCATTTCGAGGATGTGAGGACAGAGACTGGCCAGAAGAGTGGGAGTAGGGTAGTGTGGGTCTGGAAACGTCGTCTCATCTGGGCCAGATGAGGAAGTCAGGGAGATTTAGTGAGGAGAAAGGGAAGATGTGATATGAACAGTTTGCAAAAAAATCATAGACTGAGGGGAAGGACTGGAGGTGGTGGGTGGAAGTTACAGGGAGGACAGTGTTGGTCATTGTCAAGAAAAATTCTTGAAGTTAAAAGCAGTCCCGCAGTGGAGTGGACATGTGATTTTCTTTACTTGGAGCGTTCAGGCTGAGACTAAATTGACAGTGTGTGGCTAATGCTATCCTGGTGGTGGACAGAATTAATACACTTGTTCTAGAGTTGAAATCCATTTGTATTGTTTTTCTTTCTGACAAAGTCATTAATAAAGCACAGGCGCTACAATGCTGTTGTGTGAGACTCCAGATCTCTGGGGGAGACGGGAAGGCGTTTTGGACATGGTATGTTCTGGAAAGAGGCCCACGCCAAGCCCTGGGACATCTCTGTGGATGTGATGGCACCTTTCTCTTCCCACAGGCCAATGGCCATGTGTCTCAGGACCAAGAGGAACCCGTCTACCTGGAGAGCACGGCCAGAGCACCTGCTGAGGATGAGACCCAGGTGGGGCTCTGCTCACGTCTGCTTTTGCCTTTGCCCTTTCACTGGTGTTTTGACTGTTATTCGGAACAGCTCAGCAAACTCAGAAGTGGAGAGAGATCCACCTATGACAGTCGCAAGATGCTGCATTCAGGGGTGGAGTTTAGTGTTAACGTTCCAGATTAACCTTCAGAGTTGTCGGGGTGTCAGTGAGCAGCTGTGAGCTCACAGTGGAGACCAGGGAGCCTCCTGGGCCATTATGTTTCCAGTCTTTTGTTTTTCTAAAAGCCGCCAGAAGGCAGGTTCTTAGTGCCACTGTGCAAATCTTGTCCTTTTCTTCTGCTTCTAGCACACAGTAACCATTGTCAGAGGAAGGAGGTCGGACAGGAGGAAAGATGAGAGGGAGTTCAGGCCTCAGCCCTCTGGGCCACAGAGATAGGGTCGAGGTTGCTTACGAGGGACGTCTGCTTCTTCCACAGGAAAGCAGAACTCGCTAGAGAGAGGCCAGCTCCATGCTAGTGGTTTCTTGTGCTGCCACATTTAATCTTCATAGGATTGTGTGCAACCTGTGTGGTGGTATTGCTCTCTCTGTGGAGGGGCAAACAGGCTCAGAGGTAAGCCACTTGCCTGGTGTTACTCAGCATTAATCAGTAGAGGAGTCAGGATGCAAAATGAGGGCCCTTGGACCTGGACCCATGCGCCTCCTACTCTGTTGTACTGATAGGTTGGTTTGCGGCTGGCTGTGCCTGAGCACAGAACTGTGGGTGAGGAAGAGACTGCTTTGCAGAGCGCCATGCCAGGTGCTCTTCTGCCTCCACACCCACTCTTGAGGCCAGTCACTAAAAGTGCGTGGTGTAAAGAGTGCTCTGGGGTCCTGGGAGCGAGAGTTTGAGGGCAGGGAAGCACTGAGCCCACCGATCTCATCTTTCTCTGCAGTCTGTCGACTCAGAGGATAATTTCGTCCCGGGCCGGAGGGCTTCTCTCTCTGATCTGACTGACCTCGAGGACATTGAAGGCCTGACTGTGCGGCAGCTGAAGGAGATCCTGGCTCGCAACTTCGTCAATTACAAGGGCTGCTGTGAGAAGTGGGAGCTGATGGAGCGGGTGACGCGGCTGTACAAGGATCAGAAAGGACTCCAGCACCTGGGTGAGGGGCTGTCTGGGGGGCGGCTGCACAGAGTTGTGGAGTGGTTGCTGGCACTCTAAAACACAGCAGCATTGATCTGACTACATACCTGTATCTTTAGCTGAGGAGTGAGCTACCTTGCCTGTTGGCACCATCTACCAAGAGCTGCAATTTGGAGCGGAGTGCCAGGACTGGTGGGCATTGTAGACATGGGTTTAATCCTCACAGCAACCTATGAAATAAATATTTTAAGCATCCCCTTGTGTGTCGAGCCAAGATTGGAAGTGAGATAGTCCTGGTCTGAGTACATGGTCTTTCCCATCAGAACATCATTCCAGCCTTACTCACTAGTACCTACAATGATACTTACTCTGGCCAGTTGGGAGATTAGGAAGCAAACCTTGGCACACACAGGATGAGGAGAATATATCTGTTCTGCCCGCTCTTACTCATTTCCCAAAGCATTCTACAGGCTGGTATTTTCACTTTGATATCTAGGTTTATGGTCAAATGATTTCAGGAAAAAATATATTATATCCTGTTACTGATTCATGTTCAATATTATAGAAAAGGCGGAGAAGTCTTGCAGAAGAGAAATGTGTTTAGCTGTTTTGAGCTCAGCATTTCCAGAAATGATTTTACCCAGAACCTTTTCTCTTTCCTCCCATCTCAGCTGATTTGGCTCCTACAGATGAACATTGTGATTTCCTTCATTCTAACAATAGCTGAGGTCAGGTTTCAGGTTCTCTAAGTAGCTCAGATCCCTCAGTTCAGGTACATGTGACTATTCACCTGATCACAGACTCACTCTGTACTTTGGGGTTGTCCCCAGAATTGCCCCAGAGTTGTGAGGACCTGGGGGGCAGAAGAGCTGGCTCCACCTGGGAATTTCATTTAGACTTTCCCACTGACAGGAAGACTGTTCTTGACTCTAGTGCTGGCTTCAAAAGCAATAGAAAAGGCTGTCATGCTTAGGCGGTCTCCTTCCTCCCTAGCAGTTCTGTTCGTGTGAACCAGTAATAACACCAGCTGCTGGTGTGGGTTCTGACCCCGAGAGCAATTGAGGAGCAGGGAATTGAGTCGGGGTGGGGGTGGGGGTGGGGGTGGGCTCTTGGTCAGCCTGGTTCCCACCATGATGGGGTTCCCTAAGTGACACGGGTGGTCAGAGACTAACGTCGTGTCATGACTTCCTCAGATGTCTTCTCTTTTCTTTTCAGTGTGTGGTGCTGAAGACCAAAACGGTATGTAGATGTTTGTGTTTGGGGAGGAGCTTCGGCTCTCAGCTCTGTGTCCTGTTCCTCCTCCCTCCCTCATTCCTGCTCATAGTAAGACTTGTTAGCAGATGGGTGTCCCAAGAGAGAGGGCGTGGGGGCCATTCACCGAGCACCAGGGCTTCTCAGCATCTCTAGAAATTCTTGTTCTACCCTCCCTGTGAAAGAAGAAGCATCATCTTAACTAGGTGCAGGCTGAGGTGCATGTCTCTGAGCCAGAGCTCAGCAGCCTACATTTGTAAAATACCAAATGCAAATATTTGACACCCGCCATGGTAGCATGTGTTACAACCCTGGTACTTGGTTCATTTTTTGACACTTCTGGTTTGAAGGCATTCCTTCCTGTCAGTTCTCACTCACTTTCTGGTCCAGGTTGGGGAGGACTTCTGTGTGCAAAATCAGTTGGGGTATTTAACAGTTTCTGATACTGACCAAGGTGGCCTGAGAGTTTTATTGTAAAGGGCGGCCAGCTGTTGAGCAACTCTGGGGACAGATTAGGAAAGATGTCATGTCTGGTGCTCTCTGGGCCGAAGGTACATTTCTCACCTCAGCTGCCACACCTGTCTGTGTTAGAGGTTATCATTGGGCCTTCTGCTGCCCTTGACAGCACATGGGACTCTAGCAGCATCTGCTCAAGGCTGTGTGCTTATGAGTTTCTCCCCAAGAAAATGTTCTCAGTGTAGTACAGGGGCCTGCAGAGCATTTTAAAACTTTTTTAGAAGATTCCCACAATTATTGAGTAAAATGGTCTTTTGCCCACCGTGGGGCAGTCACTCTTGCTGACATTCTCAAGAGTTGAGTTCTTGGTTCCCCTAACCATTTGGAGTTTTGGACCCAACCAGTCACCTGATTGCAAAATCAGGCTCATCCTCTTGATGTCTCCTTTTTTTTCCTTGACTCCCTGGGAAAACTCAGCAACTCAGCTGAGAGAAGTAATTAGTAATTGAAGTTTTATAACTTACTCCAACCCATTGGAGGTATTTGTGTGGTTTAGTCCTTTTGAAACCTTCCCTATTAGGGCCCACAGATCCTCATAGGGTAAACAAATGGTTTTTAGTACCTTTTACAGCCAGAACACCAAGTGTTTCTTGAACTTTTGAATAGTCCAGGAAGCTAAAAATTTGCAGATGCCACAGAGTACAAGAGTTCCCTGTGGAGTGGCAGAGGTGAGTGGTACAAGGCCAGTTACCTAGTTCTGCCTGCCCACTCGCTTCACACCACCATTTAAGATACACAGGGGATACTCGGATTTTGGACATGAAAGTTTTTCTGTTACTGCACCTAAAATAGGAGAATACCACCCGGTGTGTCTCACCGCTCACAAGGCAGTTAGCTGTCATTGCGAACTAGCTGTGCACTGGGCAGTTATTACTGGCCCTCAGGTGGCCACCTACCTGGCTTTGGGTCCTGTTCCTCTGCTTAGCAGCTGTGTGCCCTTGGCCAAGCCACTTACCTCTGATTTCAGTTGCCTCATCTGTGAAATAGGAGTAATGAGAGCTCAAACTTTGTATTTTTTTTTTATTCGGTGAGTTACTCCCAGCAAAGTTCTTAAGGACCCTGCCTAGTGTAGTGCCTGGTTAACGTTCAGTAAGTGCGAGTTAGTTATCATTCCATGGAGAGACCTTCTCTTGTCAGACATTTAGAAAGTGCCCACCACGTGACCGGAGTTTTAGGAATTCAGAGATAAATATCAGAGCACATACCAAATGCTAACTATATAATTATAGAAATTGGATTTATTTAATTAAGGAAAGCATAGTCTATTAGGGGGAGGAAATAAGTAGGCAGACTCAAAAATTCTAATCCAATGGGGATATGAGGAAAGTTCTGTGGTGATGGTCCAGAAGACAGAGCTGTAATCTCTGCTAGACTCTTCCACCAGAAGCCCCCAGGGGTAGTTAGTGGGATAGCATAGGGGGCCTCATGACCCTTGGCTTTATTAAATTGGAGATGTGTTTACAGTAAACCTTGTGATCCTTAATGAATCATTCATGAGTTTTATTTCTATCTAAACTCTGCTGAATCAGTTGTCTTTTCAGTCTTTTCTGCTGCAGGGGATAATGAATCCCTAAGTGCCACTCCCTTGGTATGATACACCTGCAATTGTCTGAAAATTTTTTAAGTTTTGAGGACTCTGCCTTGTTTAGATCATGTGTTCTTGGGATGCGTTTGATCCATCAGTACTATACTCTTCAAATCTGTAGCCTGACCAATGGATGTGTGGATTGAACAGGCAAATGGAATTGGTTACTGGGGAAATATTTTTTGGGAGGAATTCTAATTGAGGGAAGTGTGGATTGGGGAAGAGAGGTTTGGTCACAGTGTGTCCTCCCACCGCCATTCCCCCACCCCATACATGTAAGTCTCCTTACTCTTCCCTCTGTCCCTCTTTTCTGTTCAGGGGGAGCAGTACCACCTACCCTGGAGGATAACTTGTGTAGGATCTGCATGGACTCACCCATTGACTGTGTTCTGCTGGAGTGTGGCCACATGGTAACCTGTACCAAGTGTGGCAAGCGCATGAATGAATGTCCCATCTGTCGGCAGTACGTGATCCGAGCTGTGCACGTCTTCCGATCCTGAGGGCTCATTCCAGCTTCTTCAGTGCCTTACAGAGACAGAGCTCAAAGGTGCCTGGGCTCACCTTGGCGAGCTTGCAAAAGGGCAAGCTAACAAGAAAATGTGGTGTCCCCAAGACCAAGGCAAGCAAAACTGCCATGTCATCTCTGGGTATGCCTGTTTTGCCACCAGAGGTGCATTTGTTGGCTGTCAGTCAAGGCCAGTAGAAACTGGTACAGATCACATTGGGAAGTCCCTGTTTCAGTGGTCTTGGGGTGGTGATAGTAATTAATGAAGAGGACTTTCCAGAACTTGAAGTGTATCTTCCTTTCTCCAAGAACCTAGCGTTTCATCCTTCCACCTGCAACCCAATACCTTGAGCTACTTGCCGCTTATGTCCCACCAATCAGAAGTCTTGGTAGAAATAATTCTTTCTCCCTAGCACATCTGGATTTCTGGTCTCTTTCTGTGCTTTAATCTACTTTGCTAAAGGTAGAGTGCTAGATTGCCTAAAAATTCCGTTTTCTTTCCCAGACCAAAAAGATGTTTACCAGACCAACAGTGGCCCTTTTTCGGACAGAATTTGGACCAGTAAACTTATCTCTGGTGAGAAACACAAATGCTATTGGAAAATTTCAAAATCATAAGAGTTGCTTCCTTAAGTGCTAGGATTAGAAGCCGTCAGTCCCCTTACCTGCTCCCGCGAGCCAACAAAGCATCTGGCTCTTAAACTGCTAAGAAATTCTAGTCTGGGCAAGAAATGACGTATGCATGGATCATCTCAGCTGCTGCTTCTCTTGGGGCTCAATTTTGTACCATTTAATTGACAAGGGTGAGAGTAGAAGGTGAAAGCAGTGACTTAAGACTTCTCCAACATTTTCCCCTGAGAATGAAGTGCCACCTTTCCTGTGGAGGTTTTAAACTTGGTCTCATTGAAGGCATATTTAAGCAGAAAGTCTTGCTTTTCTCTAGCCAGTCTTCTCATGAAGTTCCTGTAGACCAAACATGTAAGTAAAGCACCTGAAAGATCTCAGAAGGTGCTGAATAAGGCTGGATTCAACCCTTGAGCATACAGCTAGAAGTCTTAATTCCACAGGATGGTGAGGACTCCCTTCTCTAATTTCCTTTCTCAGCCTACCTTTTGGGGAGGTCAAGAAGCATTCTTTAGGTCCATTAAGGATCATGTGATATAATGAGTAGGTGCCGGTCTTAGCATCTTGACACACCACTGGAGGAGCCAAAGAGCTTAAGAAAGTTGGTTGAAGCAGCTTAGCCAAGCACAACTATACATGCAGTCAGAAGAGCTGTGTGCTGCCATTCCCAATGGATGAACTATGCAAACCCTGAACACTGAAGACCTTGGCAGACCCCCTACCCCTATGTAGCCAAGATCTCAAACTACAACTAATCATGACTTGGAAGGCAGTGTAGGATCTATTTATTGGTACAGACTTAATCATACTTTTCCTTCATCAACCACTAATCCTCTTTGGGGTGGGGGGGTAATAAAATAATTTCCTACAGTTGTCAGCTAAACACTGGGCCACTTACCTCAACATTATACCAAGCTCTGGATGGTCTGATTCCCGGCCATAATAGCCTTTGTAGAATTAGGAGAATCAGAAGATTTTCCTGTGGTGACATGGTGACATCATCACTTACCTTTCTGCTGGACAGTAAATACTAGTTTACAAAGACTACCAGTTTAGGGAAGGATTCAGCTTGCCTCAACTTCACTGTGAAATAGGCATATATGTATATATATATATATGCAACTCAGTTACCATCTGGAAGTAACTTCAGAACAGAAGCTGGCTCTCTACTTAAAATTTGCTTTCTCTGCTGGGGCCTTACCTTTTCCTACTTCCCAATTTCCTTCCTAAATGTGCTAAAAATATAGTCAGTAAGACTTAGAACTGATGTCATTTACTGGTTTTGGAGAAAAACCTTGTCTTTGGGTCATCTAACCTCTTTTGGTGAAAGTTTCCATTTAGGTAAAAAAGGTGTCAAACAACCTAATTTTTTTGTATCTTTATACCAAATAAAAGTTGAAAATTCAAGATCCCTTCCAATTAATATCTAACCCAAATAGAAAAATTGATTTTTATCCTTGAATCTTCCCTCCTGCTCCTCATGGATCCTTGGTCTTTATTATCATGGAGATATCTAATTCTTCGTTATTCTGTGGCTTTTGCTGTGATTGTGCAGATTTCAGTTGAGACTTATTGAAGTCTTGGAGACCTAACTGGTTTATAATAAATTGGAATAGTGGGGGTCTAAACTAGTAAGAATAAGCTGTACAGGAATTAATGCTCAATATATATTGTATAAATTTATTGAAATCTTTTGGATGTGAATGTGTTATTTCAAGTGGCTTATATTCTCTGAAATTTGTTTGGGTGTTAAAACCAACCCAAATGTGTATTTTTTTGTTACAGAGCGCTGCTTTATAATTTTGTAATAAAGTTTCAATATAGATGCCTGTCCCATCTGGTGTAAGAATGACAGATTGACAAAAGAATTTGCATGATCTTGAGGTTGCATTATTTCTGGAGATTGTTAGGCCATATGGCCTTGATCAAGATATCCCTGTTCAGTAGACAAGAAATTGAGGCTTAGTGTTGTTGTGACTTATTGAAGATCTCACAATTAGGGTGGCAAGGCCATGAACATAGAAGGGGATGGGGGCTGTGTAGGAAAGAACAAAATCCTAAGACCAAGTAGGAAGGAACACCTATTCCACTGATGTCAGAGATGTGCTTTGAAGATGTGGGTAGGAAGAAACCTGAGCATAGCCAGGTGTGCCCTTTTATTAATGTAAAGTCTCCAGGTGAGCCGAGGAGATGGGTGGTGGCTTTGGAGGCTGCCATGGTACAGGTGGAGTGTGGCTCAGAGGTTGGCCCAGCCCTGTAGAGAGTGCTGTGGGCAATGTCACAATGGGTGACAAGGGGAGGGAAGAGCAGTCCTGGATTATGTGCAGATCTGCCCTGTGACTGAGAAGAAATCTTGCACAAAGGGTGTAAAGGCCGAAGGTTGAGCCACAGCACTTTGTTTTCATAGTTGTCAGTGGCCAACCCATTGAGCACCCAGAGATGACCTACTGTCCTGTCTGCTGCCGGTCAGCTGCAAGTAATAGCTCAAAGGAGAACATTGCTTGGGACTGAAAGGATACAAAACTGTACAGTATAATCTCAGCAGAAAAAAAAAAAAAGGAAAAAAAAAAAAAAACCAGGCATCAGAACGATTGGAAGGAAACAGACAAAATGTGTGAACCTTGAATTGCAGATAACACCCAGCAAGGCAGGGAAGGACCAAAGGCTGAATACAAGTTTTGCCAAACTTGAGAAGCATTTCTAGGGGGAGTTTTTTAAATACTTTAGAATGGGCAGGGAAGGACCAGCTAATAAGGATTAGCTTATTCCTGAGATGATCCCCTGCAGCTGGCAGGGCCCTCTGGCGGAAGGTGCAGGCTGAGCACAAGCAATCAGTGCAGGGGGGAGGAGCTAGGTCATCCAGGCCTTAGGGCAGTGCTGGTGTCCTCTGACAGAACCCCAAGGGCAGAGCCTTGTTCTGCTGCCCTGTCCTGTTACTTGGCCTGAGGGGGGGAGGTGGAAATCTACGTAGGTCTGTGCTCTGAGGAGGAGCAGCTTTTCATCCCCACAGAGGACAGAATAGAGTATCTTATTCTCAAAACTGAAGCCAGCCTGGCGCGTGTTCAAAATCAAATGTCCTGAGTAATCAGGGCTATCCCTCCCCTTCCTCCCCAATATATTTTCACCAACAGAGAGAAACCCAGATTTGGTTAGCACTGGCCTCCAACTTGACCAGCGAGCAGAGTACCAGTTAAGCACAGCAGAAGGCTGGGGGGAAGTGGTGAGCCTTGATCCTGTAGGCTCAGACACTCAAGTTTCTTCCTGAGGTTGAATCATGTTAGCCCTACTCACAGGTAGACAAAACACGCCAGTCTGTGACCAGATGTTGACCTGACAATTTGCACTGGGACCAGTGTGAGCTGTAACAGGCAGACGTAAGCCTGTGGAAGGGGGTTTGACACTTCTGAATGGGCCACCCCCCCCTCCCGGTAGGGTCTGGACATGTACGCCAACAGACTTCCCCAAGTCTAGATCTTTGCTAGGCTGTTTGCTAAGAGCTTTACATAACACATCTGAGTTCACTTAATCTTTACCACAACCCTGTGATTTAGGTACAATTTGTATCCCCATTCCTTTTGGGGGAACAGAGGCTCAGATGTTAATAACTTGCATAAGGTTACAGCTATTTCAGTTCCTGGGTTCAGATTTGAACCAGTCTGTCTACCTGCACTGTCCAATGTGGTAGTCACTAGCCACATGTGACCATTTGAAGTTAAAATGAAAGCTTCAGCCCCTCACTTGGGTTGGCTGAGCTTCAGATTTCAGTGCTCAGCAGCTGAATGTGCAAAGTTCATGTTGGCCAGTGCAGACTTAACAGGCTAGCTCCACTGCTGCAGAAAGATCTATTGAACAGTACTGATCTACACTAAACTGTTTCCCTTTTATTAACATATTATCAGCCGTGGCAGCACAGGAACTGTTGTCTGTAAGCAGGCTGTGTATATTGGCCCTCAAATGGGTTCTTCTCTTGCTTTAGACTTGGGAGAGGCAGATCCTCCTAAAGCCCTGCACTCCCAGAGCAGTAGCCCAGACAGTCCTTTTCCTTATAAAGGCTCCATTTTCCTACCTGATCCTGGTTCCCTCCCTCCAGGACTCAAACTCTAGAACAGGAGAACACAGAGACTTAGGTCATAAAATGCATCTTGTTTTCTTTCAAATTAAGCTTTTTTCCTGGGGTCAAAAAACAAAAACACAGGTAAGGCTGAATTGAATACAAGTTTTGCCAAACCTGAGAAGCATTTCTAGGGGGAGTTTTTAAAATACTTTAAAATGGGCCTGAAAGCAAAAGGGTCAGGCAAGGAAGGAGACGTATCAGGATTGGCTATCTGAGGAACTTCAATTGCGCAGTCTTCACTCCTTAATCACTAGGGAAATTACAGGGGGTAAAGGCCAAAAATAAAGTTGAAGGACATATTATCTTAAAAAATAAGCTTCTTTTTAAAGAAAACAAAAGGACAAAAACCAGCACCCAGATATGCAAGATCTATGTAAACCAGGCAAGAGAAACTGACTTCACTGGTGGCACCCACAGCAACTAACCCCTAGTTCCGAACAGATGGCAGGTTTTAGAAGATGTACTACTTGCAGAAGAAAGCCTGTCTCCATCCTGTTCTAGCCCTCACCCGCCTGCCCCATGCCTCAGCCCAGTCTGGTGACTAGCAACAGGGTAGGGAAAGAATGATCCAAAGGTGGGGGAGGCAGCACCCCTAACAGGGGGCTACCAGTCTCCGTTTCCGGATACACGCCCAAATCCACTCTGGAGAGACCTGCTGGGCCTCAGGGTTCTTGTCCCTGCTACCCAGCACATGTGTGGCTGAGGCCGTGTCAAATTCCTGCACCAGGTCCCCATCGAATGCCACAAAGTAGCGTCTGAGACGACTGAAGTCTGGTGTAGAGGGTGGCAGGTACAGCCGCACCCCAGTGAAGATGTCCAGCAGCACCTGCAAAGGGCACAGGGGTCAGGCAGGTCTCCACCCAGTTGAGCACAGGCCAGAGGTAGTAAGGAGATTAGAACAAGAGCCAGAGATGGAGCCTAGTGGTATGGACAGGAGCAGAGAAAAAGACATCAAAATCTCCCATTTCTAGTCACTAGGCATTACACAGACTGACTGACTCTATCCCTGGTGGGAGGAGGAACAAAACTGGGGACCTAAGGAAGGGACGAGTCTACAAGAACCATGCAGTGACCAGAAGGCCAGGCCACTGACTCTCAGATACAGTGATGTTGCACGATGGAGGCCATCTTGGGGGCATACCCTGGGGGCCAGAAGCCCTGCTGTCACTGTAGATGGGCTCAAGGGCTTCAGGGAGGGAAGAGAGGGACAAGGTCGTACAGGTCAGCTGGGGTCTGGATTCAGGGCCTGAGCTGCCAGCAGGTGGGGACAATCCCACTATATAGTGATCAAACATTTACTTTGCATCTGCCCTTTGGGCCTCAGCCCTCCAGGACTGAGTCAGTACTAAACTTACTTCCTGGCCTCAGGAGGTGCTCCCTAGCTACGATGAACCAGTAACTGTCAAGGAAGTATGAAAGGGAAAGGGTAGTCAGAGGTAGTCAGAGGGGTGGACAGTCACCAAGCCAGTGCCCTCTCCCCCTCCTTGCTGGCTGTCCTCGGTCCCACCCTGAACATAAACTCACGCTGCCACACGCCCATACCCAGACTGGGATTTCTCCCCTTTAATGTAAATTGAGACTTAGGACCAGGAACCACATAGGTCCTGTGGCTGTCTTGCTAGGCGGGGCTGTTTATCTCCTGCCTGCTGGCACAGCTCTCCTTCCTCTCTGCTCACTGGCCGGCCGCCTCTGCAAGGCAACGAGAGAGCACAGAGTGGAGCAGAGGCATTGCCGGCCCTGCCCACAGGAGAGAAGCAGCTACAGGAGTGGAGAGATTTAGCCCTAAGTCCCCAAAACACCTCTGCTCATCTCAGAGTTCATGTGCTGCAGGCTGAAAGGAGACTGTAGGCAAATTGAGCCCCTGGGGCACTGCTATTCTCACCCTCACCTTTGTCTGGCAAGGAGTCTCATCAGGAGCCTTCCGCTTCTGCCCTACTTTCACAGGAGACTTCATAGCCTGCTTCTCTCCCACTTTCACAGAGGAAGGCTTTGCAGTCAGTTTGTTGCCTGCAGAAGAGAGGTTGGAATAAACTAAGAGGTAGGGGAGGTCCCTGAAGTCAGCAAAGAGAAGGCAGGTTCTCCCTCTGCTATGAGCATGGGTGAGAAGAGAGGGAAGCGTTGGGAAGGTAAGTCTTTCAGCTCAAAAACACTTTATCCCTGAATCAGATGCACTCCCCAGTGTCCTGTCATTCTGGTTTACTGCGCAGATAAAGGGTGTCCAGCATAAGGGCTTCTGGCCCACAGTGGGACACACAATAGGAAATTAGTATCAGCTTCAGGGCACAGAGCAAATCACTGGATCACAAAGGAGGAATGTGAAACCAGGGTCTCCATCCTTCAATCCCTTCCCTTTTGCCACACCCTTTATTACCCAGCACCCACCCCCAAACACTTCTCCTTACTGCCTTTGCTGCTGGGGCTGGTCAGCTTCCCTCCTGCCTTCTTGGCAGTGGGGGAGGTTCCAGAGGCCTTGCGAGACACAGTAGTCCCTGAGGTACCCTCATTCTCTCCACTGCTGCTCCCTGTAGTGGAACTCCCCTCATCTCCAGCCACTACAGTGAAGTCTGCCCTTTCCTTGGACAGCTGGTACAGTTCCTGAGGAAGGGGAAAAAGGAGCTGTGATCAGAGATAGGTGTATGTTTTAGGTGCATGTGTCAGAAAGCGAAAGGCAAATAGCAAAAAAAAGAAATTGGTTTCTTTGGTGCTTTTCTAAACTTTGTCCTTGTTTTTTTTTTTTTTTTTGATTAATAATAAATTTTATTTTTATATACCCTATACAATTGCACTTTCTTGTTCCCTAGTTCTTATCAGCAAAGTAGAAACTAGCCTGGGGCCAAACCCTCACCAGGAGGCTCTGAGAGCAGGAACTCTCCCTCTCCTGGACCCAGAGCTGCTCAGGGCTCTCTATTCCAGATGTGAGGAGGCCTATGCGGCTGCTCCTGGCCCCTAAACTGCCCTGCTTGCCTGTCTCAGGGTAATGGGAGAATGGGGAAGATAGAAGACATGTGAGCAGATCAGACGCCCGAAATCCTTAAGGCTGGGACAGTGGGCTAGAGGACACCACATGCAGCTAAGATCAAGCACCTTGAGTTGGGGGAGGTTGGTGGCAGATTTCCAGTCCTTATCATCACGGATTCGGGTGCAGCGAGGGAATCGGATGGAAATCCCATCAGCGGTGTGAGCCTCGGATTTAGAGAATTCAGCCCCTGTGATCTCCCACACAGCAGCTTTCTGTCAGGAGTTACATCAGGTAGGTCACTCACTGATTAAGAATAAAACATCTCCCAACCAGTTAAAAACAGTACAGGATAGTTAAAATGAAAAAAGCACTGCCTAACAGTGGGAGGCAAGTTCCAGTCCTACTTTTTGTGGCTGGTGCTGTATGAATGACCTCAGGGAAGTCGTGTCTCTTCTCTGGGTCAGTTTCTTTGTCACTGCAAGAAGGGACTGGGCCAAGTTACTTCTAGAATAGATCCTTTGTGACTAGGGGATGGTAGTGCTCATCTATTGAGGATGATTCCTCAGTGTTGACTGGCAGTATCTGTCGTTTGGTTGAACAGCCCCATTTCTCTTCCCTAGGTGGACTGTCAATGAGGTTGAGATGGGGACTCTGTGGTTCTAGAAAACTTTCAAGCTGATATTGTGGCTGAAGGACCCCAGGTCACTGGGCTGATACCTTTGGGTCTGGGACGATGAAGTCAGGATAGTAGATCTTGTTGATTTTCAGCCAGCTGGGTATCTTGCTGGGATCCTGAAGGAGAAAAGATGCTGTCCAGGGCTGCTCCTGAGCCATAATAAGACTTAAACACCCTCATGGGCATCAGTTTCTGAGAAAAGGTAATTTAGCACAAAAGGCTAACAATTCTTACCCTCAGGGATCCGCCCTGCCCAGAGAATAACCTAGAGGGCACACAGGTCAGTTTTTGTAAGGTAAGCACTTAAAGACTTTGAAGGCCTCCCAGGTTCCCATGGCCAAGTAGCATCTTTCCTTTGGGGAGACAGACAAAACGCAATGTGCAGCCTATCTCAGTAAGGATGGTCAGTCCAGACACCAGGGCCTCACCTTGCTGATCTTCACCATGTCCAGTTCCTTCTGCAGGCGGGCAAGTGTCGCATCATCATGGCCTCCAGCACACTTGGTGACTGTGCACCACTTCTGGCTGCTTGGATCATAGCAACCCATGAGGAAGATGGACATCATGCCGCCTGGGAGGGGGGATGGGCTAAGTTGTGGGTGGAGGGAGCCATCTCTGCCAGTCCCACGTGCCCAGTGAGAGAGCCTGGTGGAGAGGAAAGGGCCTGGGCCTTGGCGTCAGAATGCCAGAGTTCACCTCCTGATCTACCTTACTAATTTTGACCTTTATGAGCCCAAATTTCCTATTCAGTAAAGATAATCACACCTAACCTGTTGGATTCTGGTAAGGAGTAAACGGAATAGTACCTGGCACATAAAAGCACTAGTTCCTTACTCGCCAGCTTTTCCCCTAGTCAATAAAAAGAGATTTGTTCCTCGAGGAGACAGTTACCAGGCTACCACAGGGTATTCATGCCAGGCCATTTCATTTACAAACCTGCCTAGGTTTGTAACTCTGATATCCCCACTCTGAGGTGACACGGGCCAGACTACGGCCCCAAAACTTCAGAAATGTTGATTGGCCATGTGGGTAGGTCAAGCCGGCAAAAAGGCCAGCTTGTATCTTAAGCAGTGCCTTCCAAAGAAGTATCATCCCAGAGCCCAGAGGACATCCTGACCTTTGCTTCCTTGTCCATAGAAGGCCCCAAGGACCACCAGGTCAGCTGTGTCAGCCATGGCCCCTTCATTCAAATAGTCTTTCTTCACTTTCAGCCAGTGCCGCTTCCCAGGCTCATAAGTACCCTGAAGGGAAGTAAGAGATGAATTAGAATGGACACTTCAAAAGAGTGGAATTTACCAGATCTAGCAGGGTGCTCAGATTCTAGGAAAGAGCCAGAGACTCCAGACATTACAAAGTACATATACCTATCCTTCAGTTCTAGAAAGAACAAACTTGTCCACACCCTGAAAAGGCTCCCCTCAGCAGCCATCCTAAGAACCTCAACCCACCACTGCCATCTCCTGGTCAAGGCTGGAAAGGCTTAGGGAGAGAGGGCTCTGCGAAGTGTCTGCAAAGGTGGTGGCCATCTTACCTTCACGTCCTTCAGCACCAGCCCTTCCAATCCCTCCCGGATCACCCGGTTTATCATGTCAGCCAAATCTGAACCTTTCTGAAGGAAAATAGGAGAGAAAGAAATGGGTGTGAGAATAGACAGTGCCCTGGGATGAGTGGAGGTAGTTTCTTTCTGCATACTAGTCAAGTGCCCAGTAGAAGCACTCCTTTGATTACAAAGAACAAAATGCTTACAAAGTGGGGGACACCCTCAACCAGGGGGCTGCTTCGGTTTTGAGACACAGCTCACATAGGAAAGCTGTTTGACGCCCTGCCCTCCCATGTGGAGACTAGTAGAGCACATATACACAGCAACCCCCATGGGAAAATAAGACACTTTCTCCCAATCACATCTAGTGTAGGGGTTCTCTGCTCTGCTCTGAAACCACAAGGATGCTGCCTACAGTGGGGTCTTTGCTCACCGTGACTTGCTTCATTTCTGAGAACATGATCCGGTTAGGAATTTCAACCATGTTGTCATGAAGAAACTTTCGTCGCTCACACAGGGGCCTAAGGGGGACAGGAGGTTGCGGTCAAGCCAGGAGTTCTGAGGTGGCAAGCCCTATGACAAACTTACTTTATAGCGGGTGTGTCATAGCTTAAAGCCCTGGTGTCTAACATTTTTTGCCTGTCAAAGCCTGTAAAGACTCTCTAACTGAAAGACAATTGTTAGCCATGGCATAGAGCCACTCCATTGTTATAGTTCCTGTTTCTACTTAACCAGGTCACAGGAAAATTGGTCACTGGTTCAAACAGATTGTATAAAATTTGGTTCTACTTGAGAAATTACTCTGATACTCCTTTTTTATCCCCGGCACCCTGCCCACCTCAGGCCCAAGGCTGGCTGGTTCATCTTGGGTCAGCAGGCTGAAGCCCAAAGCCCAACTCCTACAATCTCCCTAATTCCTTCCCCTTCCACAAGGACATGGGCCAGTGTGGGAGAGGTGGAGGTAGGGAAACTTAAGTGTGCAAGGGGCTAATACTGGTTTCTTGGGTCCAAGAATTCAGATGCAAATTAAACATTCTAAGCTCTAGTTCTCCTTATGATGGCCCTACCCACAGCCCTCATTACAATCACAAATTTCTATTGTTAGCCTCTTTTGAAAGAAAAACCTTTGACTTTTTGAAAGCAAAACCATTTGCTTTATGCCCTGTGGGGGATACTGGAGAAATAAACTGAAACCCTTCTGCATTCTATAGATCTGCAACACTCTATTTTGCTATTGTAAAAATGACTTAAGCTCAGGCCTCCCTGGTAGTGCAGGGGTTAAAGTATCAGCACTAGCAAGCTATTGCCAGCCACTGCAGCATGAGTTTAATCCCTGGCCAGGGAGCTGACCCACATGGCACAGCAGATCTCTCCTGTCCTGACTGCTGCTCCCCTCAGCAGTTTATTTCTGTAGATCCATCTGTTCTGCTCCCCACTCTGTCTTGGTGAATCCTCTCACTTCCCCTCCCACCACCCCTTGCACCTCCCTACACCCCAGTTCTTCTATGCATAAATAAATAAAGATAAATTTAAAAAAATATATGACTTAAGCTCTCAACAATGAGATGCAAATCTTCCTAACACTGAAAGGAGGGGGAGGTGACTGCAACAACTGTGCTACCTCTCAGCTCCCTCCTGCCACTCCCCTGTCCCTGCCCAGTTCCTAGGCACAAAGGTATATTTGCCAGACTTTTTTTCTCCCTTTCCAATCTGAATCCCCTATCTCCTAACCCAGGAACTGAAAATAGATTCCCCACCTGTCCATCAAGCTGACATCATTGAAGTAAATACAGTCAAAAACAAACAGGCAGACATTAGCATCCAGGAAGGCAGCTTTCTGTAAGGAACATGAGGCAGTAGTTAAATGAGGGACGAAGGTAATGGGAAGTACCAGTCAATTTCTGGAGGCTCTCTGATATATCTGATGTAAAAGTGCTATTTATGCTCTAAAGCCCCTGAACCATGTAAGAAAGAACTGAGCTCAGAGCTAAATTCACAAACAGTTCAAAAACAAAGAATAAACCCTATCCTAAATAAGCGATATGTTCTTCCCCATTTAGATGGACAGCACATGCACATATATGCATGTTCATTCTTGCACATCTGGCCCTGAGCCAGTACCTTGTGTACTCCCAGAGTTCCAAAGGGCAATGGTTTGCCTGTCTTGTTGTCAATCAGGAGCACCTCCGAGTCCAGAATCATGCTCTGACCCCCAGGGAAAGCCTGGGGGATATAGTCCTTAAAGTGGGCCACCTGAAAGTAGAAAAGTCACTTAGGTGAGGAGGAATAGCATCTCAAGCTGAATCACAGAGAACAAAACACAGGCTCCAGAAGAAACACAGAACATCAACATCTGGAGGCCCATGAGCAGATCCTGGATGCAGGCTTTGCCTGCCACCTAGCCAAGAACAGAGTATCTGTTTCAGTACCTATGTCTAGACCCAGCAAGGGATTAGCCTGTGTTGAATCACTCTCTATGGACTGCAGAGAAAGTTGAGGAAAAAAGGTTAGAAATAATATGGGGAGGAAAGGGTCAAAGAGAAACATGGAAGGGAGGCAGGAAAGGTAGCAGATTTTTGCCTATGGCAGAAGATGGGTGGGTATCAGGCTGTGGAAGACTGAGGGAGAACAGGAAAGAAGACAGAAAGGAAGAAACAAACCCCTTTAGAAGCAGCAAGGAAATGTGAGGAGGGTCTTTTCTAGAGCAGCTGATCCTAGAGCTATCTTCAGAATTAGTAAGAAAGGATGCTTGGAATTGGATTTTTCTTAATCAAGGCAGAGCCCTAGTCTCTGTTAGTTCCAGACAGGAAGAAATTCCACTGTACCCCAAGGCAGTCCCTGCCAAATGATGCCACCAATGAGATCTAGAGAGCATGACTGTGGTCCAATTCCTATCCTGGAAGAGATATGCAGACCATGATTACCTGTGATGTTTGGGGCAGGGACAGGAAAACCCTGCACAGCCACATTTCCCTTCAATCCCCAAGCACTGACAGGTAAGCAATTAAGGAAACTTTGGTAAGGGAAAAGGCTCTAATTCTGGAAAGTTGTGCTCAAACTTCTTCCTGGGGGGTGCCCATTGAACATAAGCCTTACCATGAGGCAATTCCTTAGCAGTTTACTCTGCTCCCAGAGCAGTGAGCCTGCGCTAATGGGGGAACCCACTGCTGAGCTCTCCTCTGCAGTACCTGAAACAGATGGCCTAACTGCTCTGTCCCCAGCACCCGAGCACGGCTGAGGTAAGGATATGAGTCACACATAGCCCCTTTACACTGGGGGCTCTGAAAAATGGAGTCCAAGCTAAGACAGAAGGGGTAACAAGGGTAGGAATCTACTCAAAAGCTACTGAAGCCAGGCGTTCAGCTGCTTTCCCCTGAAGAAAACACCAGAGGCACTCAGAAACCCTGGGACTAAGAGAGGATAAGGATGGAGGTTCTCAACGCCCCTTATTTTAAAACAGGAAATAGATTCCTATTTTCAGTTCCTGGGTGAGGCAAAAGGAGATTCAGAGTCCAGATTTGGGGTTAGTCAAAACAGAGCTTCAGGGGGCGGTAATGCTACTGAGAAGCAATCATGACTGGAACACTCCATAAGTAAATTCATTCATTCATTCAACAAATATAAAACAAACCCCTAAATACAGACCAGAGCTGAAACAGTTGTGGACTTCTATCCCTGAGATTCTTAGAGACAGGAAGGGACAGACAGTCCTAGTGAAAAGGAAAAAACCAATACCTTGTGAGGCAGGACAGGCTTGAGACTGCGGCTGAAGTAGCTGAAGTGGTCCCCGTTCTTATGCACCTGGACTCGCTCCCCATCGTACTTGATTTCAGAGAACATGCCATTGGGACATTTCTTCATTGCATACTCAATGGATTTGCAGGCCTCAGCCTTCGGGTGAGGAAAGAAAATTCTGGAGACTTAAAAATGCTCTTCTAATGAGAAGCAGCTTAGCCTAAAAATCCAGGTCCTGGGAACTATCTGCCTAAGCATACCTTCATGGCAGGCTTTTGAAGAGGTGAGAGGAATGGAAAAGGCTAGGCAGTGTCCTATTCTGAGTATGAAAGCAGCACCAGAGCTGACATAGGAGCTTGTATTTTGAGGACTATGAATGCAATTCATTCATTGTAGAGCAAATAAAATTTCACTGAAATAGCATTTCATTTTTTTTCTCAGTAATTTAGATCATGCAGGCCCTCTGGCACACATAGTTTATCCTGGTACCAGAGGTATGTAGAGATTAAGACCAAAGGGTATAGATGACAGTGGGGCTGGCAGTGATGAGGATTTGCTGGATAAGACATCCAAGTCACAGGAGAGCTTCTTTACCTTTCTGTGCCACCCTGAATCAAACAACCTGTACATGTCCGATCATACACACAAATTCATTTTACCCGTATATGATACTATTATCATTTCACAGATAAGAAAACCTGTTCAAACAGGTTAAGTACTTACTTAAGGTTACATAGCTAGTAAATGGCAGGAATAAAATTTGAAGCTAGGCCCAACTCCACAGTGTAGCTAACCACTAAGCTATATAACCTATGCCATTCTTCAAGTGACATTTTGTAAAACAGGCTCCAGAAAGAATTTTTAAAAATTCAGGAAAGGGAGCCTCCCTGGTGACTGCAGCCTGAGTTCAATCCCCCACCACGGAGCTAACCCACATATGAGACCTCTTTGCCTTACCCGCTGCTCCCCTTAGCAGTGCATTTCAGTAGATCTGCTTGTTCTGCTCCCCACTCTGTCTCTGGTGAATGTGCTCACCCTACCCACTGCTCCCCACCTCTCTATGCCCCAGTTCTTCTATAATACACATATAAATAAATAAATAAATAAATAAATAAATAAATAAATCCAGGGGGAAAAGTCAGAAAGGTCACTGCTGCAGGTGACTGTGTTTCTGTCCCTGGGATAGAGATCTCACTATTTGGTGCTAGTTATTCCACACACTTTTTTTTTTTAAAGATTTATTTATTTATGATTACAAGAACTGGGGGTACAGGCCAGAGGCGTGGGAGGTGAGAGGATTTACCAGAGACAGAGCGGGGAGCAGAAAAGGCAGATAGACCGAAGCACACTGCTGAGGGGAGCAGCGGGCAAGTCAGGAGAGGTCTGCTGCACCATGTGGGTAGCTCCCTGGCCAGGGATCGAACTCGCACTGAGGGGTAGAACATGTCCCTATCCCAAACACAGGATCCCAAATAAGGCTTTAATGTATCATTCAAGATTGTTTCAAAAAAGCACTCACACCACTGAAACAACCCAAGGTATCTCAAAGCAGATATGGCAGCATACATATCCAGTTGTAAGGAAAACTAGTGCCAGAGAAGAAACAGGTTTTCTCTTGAAATGAACAGAGGCCAAGATGATCTCTGTCAGAGCTGGTCTTCATTCCTCAAGCTTCCTCAATCCAGAAGAAAAGGAGACATAAGTTACCCTGTCACAGGAAGTCTGTCTCTGTTTCCAACTTAGAGTTACTATGGGTACATGTAATCTACCTGTGTTCTGGTAAGATGATAAATACACCATTCTAAGTAGATGCTTCAGAGGGTTTACATGTCTGTAAAGACTAAGAGAGGCAAGTAACTCATCTAAGATTTTGTAGCTGGTGGTGGCAGAGTGGGTGGGGACAGAAGTTCACATCATTCTACTAAATCACACTATGTTCTTTGCTTTACTTCTCCATTGAGAAACACCTCTCTGCATATTCGGTCCTCCCCCAAACTGCAAGGGCTATCAACATTCATACATTACTAGGTCTCAAACAGAAGGTCAGAAACTTGGAGAAATGTAACAGGGACAGAACAGCATCCTTACCAGCATGGGCTGCACGGGAGTCATCAGCGAGGCCTGAACACTCAGAGTTCGCCTCCGGCCTGGCTCCTTCTCCTGCTCGTTGTGAAGGACCCGCTCCACCACATCCTGCAAGTTGCGTGAGGCTTTGAAGGCTTCATAGGCATTGGGGTCAAGGGCATCTAACCTGCCAAAGTGGACAGGATTGAGGAAACAACCACTGCCTGTGACTGACTGCTTTTCACAGAAATCTGTCCTCACAGAGAATAAGCATTTCAATATAAGGAGGGGTTATGTTCTATTGTTCAAAAGCTTGTAACGGACGAGAAAAAGTTCTTGGAAAATTCAGGTTTTTTTGAGATATGATACAGTGGCATGGATGCCACCGTAGCAAAGAGGGAGCTGGCGTGGGCAAGTAACCCATATTAAACTTACCAAACATATGGTAAGTAAAAGGTATTGTTCTCTCTATTTTATATGTGGAAAAATGGAGACTGATGGTTAAGTGATATATCAGGTCCCACACAGGAAGAAAGTAAAATCAGGATTCAAATACACACTGGGACTCCAAAATCCTGATATCAGCAGGCAACAAAGGAAAACTGGCAACTCAGGTTGTCAGAGGAACAGATACTTACACATGTTTTGCACCTGAGTTCATCTTCAGATCATGTTTGATCAACCTGATGATGCACTTGAGATCATTGGCTGTACACCTGGGGAGATGAGGCACATTCAGCTTGGTCTTTGAAGAGCTATGGACCTTCAAATCTTCCTTCCCAAGTGATTCCATCTCTCTTTTTTATGTAAGATTAGCCAGAAATTGCCAAACCTCCAAAATACTATGTAAGCAAATGTAGTATAACTCAATTTGTTTTCTTTTTCCTATTATTGTATTAGTTTTTAAAAAATAAGTTAATTTTTTGAAACTGAGGTAACATTAGGATCTACCAACCCACTTCTCCCCTCAGATTCCATCTCTCCAAGCCCATCCCCATTACGCAGCTCCCCTACCTGGAGGCGATGTCCTGCAGGGCCTGTTGCTGCTCATCCTCTTTGGTGAGCTTGGAGAGCTTCAGAAGGAATTCATCCACCTCCTGAATGGTAAGAAGGCTCTTGGCAGCTGGGGGGAAAGACTTGCTCTGCTCAAAGAAGACTCTGATTGTCTCTGACACATCACCCTGTGTCCAAAAACAAAATGCCACTGCTCTAGCCCCAGAGTGGTCAAGCATAACCCCAAACCCTTAGGAGTAAAGATGAATGACTGAGATTTCAACCACTTCTGTCTCTAACTCACACACACTGACCTGACTTCTTAGAGGATCCATCCCACCCATTGCTCCTGGCAAGGGCACCTCAATCCACCATTGGATCTGCCCACATCCCTTATGTGAGAAGGGATGCAAGAACTAGTCCAGGACTGAGTCAACTTGATTCCCCTTATAATTTGAAGTAGAGCCAAATATGACCATCAGATAATGGGAGTGCTTGGTAAAAACTTGCCATGGTGCCAAGTTGAAGTCATGAACAAACTAAGGCTGAATGGTAAGCTCATGTTATGGGGAGAAAAAGTAGAGTTCAAAATAAGAGCCCTAGGAGAGACAGCAGCAAGTCTCAAATAATGATACTTTAAGATCTAAGCTTCCCATGGAAGCAGCACGATTTTAGTCCTCAGAAACTTGTGAAACTAACAGATGTAGCCTCACATTCAGCTTCCCTCATAACAGAAGCCAGTTCAAATGGGTTTCAGTTTCCTAAAACAACAGTGCTCCAACCACAAAAAAGAGTATGCAGGTGCTGGCTTGGCAGAACCCGCCCTGGAATGTTGCCTACCCTCCCCCACCTCTCTGACCTGCTCTAGGTCTCGTGCCATATCATCTGGGTTGCAGTTAAAAATTCGGCTGAAAAGCTTCACAATCTGCTTATCATTCAAGTTGTAAACACTCTTAATAACACCTGGCAGCAGCAGCTTCACTGTTAGGTACACATCACCATGAAAACCATCTGAAAACAGAAGAAAGGAACCCTTCTTGAGAAATGGAGCTTAACAAGTAAGTACATAAACTCAAGGAACACTACCTGTGTTCCCACAGTACCCTATACATTTCACCTTTAGTAGAGGCCACAGCACTCAGTGGCTGGTGCTTTATGTGTCTGTCTCCGCTTTAGCACATGGATGAATCACTGAGTCATGACTTTCACTTAAGTGTCCCCAGTGATGAGTACATTACAGATGTTTAAGAATGACTTGTTAGATGAAAAAGAGTTAGAAGATTCTATTCCCAGCTGTGCATGTGGGTCACAAAAACCTAATAAAACATGCATGCAGTGAATCTGGTTAAATGGGAGGGCTCTAGCTTCTAAGAGTAGAATAAGGGCAAAGGAAGAAAGATGCCAACATACTGTTGGCATAACTGGTAGCATGCTTCACAGAACCCGATGCAAAATGAAAATGCAAGGCTCCTTTATGCAGTATTATTGAGAATTTCAAGACCACAAGAGCAGAGCATTAAATCCAGCATAGGGCCCTGTGCAACTGTACAGTGCACATGTCCACGAGGCCATTATGGGTATGAGCTCTCCAAAGGAAAAGCCCATCCAGGAGGCTCTAGTCCCCACCTCCTGCTGAACCTTTCCGTAGGAAGTCTTGGATGATCTGCGTCTTTGTGTTGTAGCTAGGATTTTCAGCCACGCTGGCACACAACTTCCGAAACACTCGCAGCAGACAATCCTTGTGCTTGGGGTCACACTTGCTTGAGGACAGACTTGTCTTAGGGGTAGGGCTTGAGTGGACTTCCCCAGAGTTGTTGGGTTTGGCTATTGGAGAGAAAAAGGAAAAGTGAAATAGCAGAGATGATTCACTCTGCCTGGTTGAGAAGGAAGAAAGAGAAACTAACACGTATACTGGTAGTACTTTATAATGCAGTCACTTAATCCCTCAAAATAGCCCTTTGAATATTATATTCATTTTACAGGTAAAGAGTGGAGATGAAGCAACTTTCCCAATCACACAGTTATTGATGGTAAACAAAGTGTCCTCACACCCAAGCAGAGGACCAGTTAATGTGTATCACTTTAAGTTAGAATTTCAGGAAAGAATAAAGATCTCCTTTGTGCCGAAGTGGTCAGGAGGATCTCAAAGTGATTGTATAGCTGATTCCAGAAAAGTTGGGATAGCGAAGAGGGAAGAAATCAAGGGACATGTTGATCAATGTGAAATAACTGCTACTGCAGATTGCTGGACTTGGAAGAAACTTTAAAGATAATCTCTTAAAGTTCAATCTCTTCTTACCAATGAGAGACCAAGGTCTGAGAAGACAAACTTCTAAGATGATCCTCAATGGTGGCAAAGCCAGTATAAGAACACCGACAGCCAGATCTCACTAGTGTGCTCCCAACTTCCCAGGCCCTCATCACTTCCACCCCACCCCCATTACTGCTTTCTTACCTTTCTTACTGTCAAATTAAGTTAGTCAATGAGCAGGGCTTTCCTCCGGATGCCAAAAAAATAACTATGTATAGTACAGGTCCTTGAAAAACTTTGGTAAACATTGTTTTGTTGTAACAGCAAAATCTATATAATATCAGTCTTAATTAATATAAAGATTGCCACCCACCCTCTCTCTTCGGTTCCCACCCTCCAAATTATTTTCCCTTTCTGAAGGAGCTGTACTATAGGTAGCTATTATGTACTATGAATAAACAAAAAATTAATTTTTTCTGGCTGTCCATCTACTTTATTTCCAATAAGGAGAAATATATTTGGATTTTGTATAAATACATCTAGTGGTGACATTTTTTCAATTTTTTTTTTTTATAATGGGGTATAGTACTACATGTGGTAGAGCATTTTTCTCAAAACGTCTAGTGTAGGGCAAAGAATGAATGAAACAAGGAAATTATATCTGTCAAGGACCTGGCTTTGCAAGGACTTACTTACAACATTTAAGTGAGGATTTGCTGTATGACTCTTTCATGATTCCCACTTAGCTGCATGCAGGAGACCATTTACAAAACATTTCATTCTGCAAGCCTGCAGCAGAGCCAATAGCGATCGAAAGGCCATGAATGTCATCACCTTCTTCTGTACCTCCATCTCCAATTCAGGCAAGTTTAAGGGTGGGGTTTTGCAAAATTCTCTCAAAAAATAAGGATATAAAGGGCAGATGACAATAATAACCTGTCGGACCCAGATAACTACTTCAAGGAGAAAAAGTCTTAAAACAACAAAATAGGAGCCCAAAATGGGATACCAAATTAAAAGGAGAACCTAACTTACCTGAAAAGCCAGAAAACTTCCGGGGATTGGTGTTGGTGACAAATGAAGTGCCTTTTGCTGGAGATGTCACCTGGCCAGTGGCTGTCAACTTAGCTTGGACAACAGCTTTCTTCTTTGGTGTGCTCGCTGATTTAGAAGACAGATCTATAGGGCCCCAAAAGAAGGGGAAATATCTTACAGTGAAAGATCCCTGAGAAAATTTCCCAAGAATCAACCAATTCTTCTTAGGACTTTGTTTGGTGAGTTACTATGATGGCATTACCCCAAGGCTGAGTGGTGGTTGACCAATCTTTTTCAGTGGAGGTAGTAGATAATGGGGCTTTGTGGGAAGGGGCGTTTTATGGATAAGAGACCCAGTTACTCTTTATTTCCATTATTAACCTTAATTTTCAAAAGCATTCTCTACGTCTTATCCCATGCATAATAGCCTCCAAGTTATTTGAGAATCAGAAATCACAGCTCAATGGACAAAACTTGGGGATCCCAGCTCATGAAATGAGCAATAATTTTATAAATGAACAAAAAAAATGTAAACGAAGATGGGTAACTGCGCATATGGGTTTGGCATAGGCAGGAATTTTTCCAACTGTTAAGTTATTTGAGCTATGTGACAGTTTAACTCTACCTTCTATTTCTCTTTCTCTGAATTGAGATGGGTCAAGAAGTAACAAAAGCTGAGACCTGTGAATAAGGCAGGGCATGGTAAGGCAGGATGGGAAGCTTCAGAATGGAGTATATAGAAAATAGTTTTCTTTTTTTTTTCCCTCTCAAAGAACAAGGATAGAGTCCACCTTCAGAGTGTCCCTACAATGACCAGAACTATTGTTAACTGAAGCTGTGGCTATTACTTTTAAGGACAAGGACACCAAAGGTCATAAAAGACTAATTGGAGGGCCTCCCCCATGGCGCAGCGGTTGAGCGCTGGGTTGCGAAGCTGCCCGCGGCCTCTGAGGCGCCAGTTCGATCCCCGGCTGCTCCCCGGCCACCGGAGGAGGGTCCCACATGGTGCGCAGACCTCTCCTGCCGCCTGCTGCTCCCCTCAGCAGTGTACTTCCATCCTTCTGCCTGCTCTGCTCCCCGCTCTGGCTCTGGTGAATTCTCTCACCCTCCCGCACTTCTGACTGTACCCAGTGCTTGTATAAATAAATAAATAAATAAATAAATCTTTTTAAAAAATGAAAAAAAAAAACTAATTGGATTTGGAAGTCTCAGTATAAGAATTCCAGAATGCACACATATGTGGACATGCATGTATATGTCCGTAGATATGTATCTCTGGGTGTGTATATGTGTTTTGTGTATATACATAGCAATCTTCTTGCTCTGTCTGTTAAAAGGGCTGAGAAGCACAGACACTTCAGGTCAACAAGATACATAAGCATACAGATTTTGGTCTCTAATATCATTTCCCCACTAACAGAAATCAGGACTATTCTAAGAAATGGCTATCAGGGCTAGGGCAGGATACATACAAGTTAAACTTAAGAGCATCCTGTTATGTCAGAGTAAGTAAAAATAAAATAAGAGTAAAAAGAGTAAAAATACTTATTTTCATTGATGAGGGCATATAGAACATAGAATTAAGCTTGAAAGGTCTTCCAACTGGCCAAATATGGGATAATTAAGTAGCAAATTAAGTACAGCAACATTACAAGCCACTGGGAAAAAGTAATAATTCATGAGTCCACACAGATGATAGCTTGATAGATAAAAGGGGGTGATGGGAGGTACTCTGTTCTTTAGAAATGTCAATGTCATAAAGAAAAGACTAGGAAATGTTCCAGATTAAAGGAGGCCAGAGATATGACAACTAAATACTATACCTGACTCTAAATTGGGATTTTCTACTAGAGGAGGAAAAAAAACTATTACGATATTATTTGATCAATTGACAAATCTGGAATACAGATGGTAGATTAAGGTATCATAAAAAAGATAAATTTACTAAAGTTGATAGCTATATTAGAGTCATGTAAAAGAATATTCCTATTCAAGGTATATATACTGAAGCACTGAAGGCAAAGAGCCATGAAATATGCAAATTACTCTCAAATGGGTAAGGAAAAACTGCATGTGTGGAAAGAGTAACAGAGAGAGAGAGAGAGAGAGAGAGAGAGAGAGAGAGAATGCGTGCACACACATGAACACAAATGATAAAACAGAAAGTACAATGTTAACAACAGGTAAGTCTGGGTAAATTCAACAATAGGTAAAATCTGGGATTAGCATTCTTTGTACTATTTTTATTCTTGCAACTGTTCTATGAGTTTGAAATTATTTCCAAATAAAAAATCTGACAAAAATTGGAACAAAAAAAAAAAGGACTCTACTCTCCTTTTTTTCTTTCAACACCAGTAAGACAAGAAAGCAGTATTCTCCACCCCACCTGCAATGTGCTGACTTATCTGTTCCTTCTCATTATCTTCCAGCTCCTCCCAGCCTTCCAGTTCTGTGAGGTCCTCAATTTTCTTTGTGGTGGCCCGGGCGCGTTCCAGTTTCTCAAACATGCACTTAATGTGGTACCACTCCTTCATATCACCCCCAGACTCTGAGAAGGGGTTGGGTACCACTTTGCCAATTCGGCATATGCCCTTCACAATTTTTTCCTTGCATTTTTTGCAGCCAGCTGTGCCACGTTTGGCATAGTCCACACAGAAGCGCTGCTCAGCCATCTTACCGGGACCACCGCACAGTCCCACATGCGACCCTGGCAAGAAAACAAGGCAGGAGACCCACGACCTTAGGTTGCCTCCCTGGAATGACAGAACAGGCTTTCTTCTCTGGAGGAGGCAATGCCCCTGAAGCAGATCGGTTTCTGACCACTGACTGAATTGTCTTATGTCAGGCTGATAATGTTTTCGGAATAGGCAGGGTTCTTTTCGGCTGAAAGCACGGAGGGCTGATGGGAAGAGTATCTTCAGAGCCAAAGTCATACAGCTGTATAAAAGGGTGGGAAGCAGAAAACGATAGATCTATGAGGTTTCCAATTTCTTCAAAGGTGAAAATCCTATATAGTTTATGCTGACAAATTAAACACCTTCCAAAGTGTTAAAGGTCATTGCCTTTAGGATGAAATTCCAATATAGGAAAACTCAGTTTGCAGAACGATGTCCAATTAGTCAATGTATAGGCATGTATCTAGCAAATCACAACCAAGAAAATTCAAATAGGGCCTCCCTGGTGGTGCAAATGGTTGAGCGCAGGGCTGTGAAGCTGTCCCCAGCCTCTGCAGTGCCGGTTCGATCCCCGCCAGCCTGGAAGCAACCCACATGGCAGACCTCTCCTCTCTCGACCGCTGCTCCCCTCAGCAGTGTATTTCGTCAGTCTGCCTGTTCCATTCCCCACTCTGTCTCTGGTGAATCCTCTCACCCTCCCGCACATCTGACCCCAGCTCTTGTATAAATAAAATAAATCTTTAAAAAAAAGAGAGAAAATTCAAATAGCATCACAGCTTTTCTCAAGTCATATCAAAACCTGATTATTTAAAATGGATGATGACCCTAAGTATTACAAGATCCAGAAGTTTCGCTTTACTCTCCAAGAAAAATTACATTATGTTCAAGAACTTTCAAATGTGACATATAGTCAGTCCTCAGGAAATAAATGTGATTGATTTAATCATAAGCCCTATTTTGAGAATTAAAAGGTGGCAAGAATCAGACTGTTTGGGTTCAGATCCTAGCTGTGTGACCTTGGTAGGTTACCTCTTCATTCCTCAATTTCTGCGTGTAAAACTGTGTCTAATAATACCTAACTTGAGGGGTTGTTGTGCTAAGAGTAAAGCCTTTGGAACAGAGTTGAGCACAGTAGGAGCTCAATACCTGTTAACTCCTATTATCCTTTAAGTAGAGGCTCCCCATGGATTGGATCTTCTTATTTTCTAAGATGTCTTCACAATTGTAATTTTAAATATACTGGAAATTATTTTCAATCTGCACACTGCTTTGTAGTGAAATTGCTATTGGGTTAAAATGAAAAACAGACTTTACTCACAGTAGTGCAACACCATGCTGAGGAAGCAAATGGATGGGCATCCGGGATGGGGGTGCAAGCGGCGACTGTAGTTTAGTGACTATATAATCTTTAAGAAACCTGTGAGTCTCTTCTTTTTTTTTTTAATAAATCTTTTTCTTCTTTTAAATATTTATTTATTTATACAAGCACTCGGTACAGTCAGAGGCGCGGGAGGGTGAGAGAATTCACCAGAGCCAGAGCGGGGAGCAGAGCAGGCAGAGGGACCGAAGTACACTGCTGAGGGGAGCAGCGGGCGGCAGGAGAGGCCTGCGCGCCATGTGGGACCCTCCTCCGGTGGCCGGGTAGCAGCTGGGGATCGAACCAGTGCTGCAGAGGCTGCGGGCAGCTCAACCAACCAGGGCTCAACCGCCGCGCCACCAGGGGAGGCCCTGTGAGTCTCTTCTTATTTCTAACACAGGGAAAATAATGCCTACCTCACAGGATGGGAAAAATAAAATCTGGCTGATGGGGGGCTCTGAGTGCTCTGAAAATGTCTACAAAACGTGCGTGTTCATCAATGTGTTGGGGGAGGCGTGTTTCTCGTGCGGGTCAGAGTCAGCTTTATGGCCTCCAGAAGTTTAAAATCCGCGTGGGTCTGTGAAACTACGGCAGGCCCCAGAGAGGGGCTCGGACACCAGCGGTCTCAGCACTTCCCAGACGGCAGCGGCTGAGGAGGCGGCGCAGGGCGCCGGCGCGGGGAGGGGCCGGGATGCCGACCACGAGGAGGCACAAAGCCGCGGCGGGGAAGCCCGCGCACCGCGCAGCCCCCGCCGGCCGCAGTCAGCGCCGCAGCGAGGGGCCGGGAGGGCACCGCGGGCCTGCGCGCCCCGCCCCGGGGAAGCCCAGCGGCCGCTTTCCCGGGGCCCCCCGCCTCGCCGCCGGAGAGCGGCCAGCCAGCCGAGCGGCGCGCGCCCGCACCCCGGAGTCCTCGGCCTGGCCGGCCGGGGCCCCGAGAGCGCGAGCCGCAGCCGAGGACCGGGTGCGGCGGCGGGAAGCGCGCGGCTCCCGCACTCCCGGGGAGGCGCTCCCACTCCGCGGCGGCCAGCCCGCGGACAAGCCCGGGCCAGAGCCGCCCGGGCACGCGGCCGGGCGGGGGGCGGGGGCGCGCTCGCTCCGGCGGGCAGTGGGGTCCCCGGGAGCAGCGAGCCACCCACGGCGGGCTCCCGGGGGGCCGCCACGTCACGGAGGGTGTGCCCCGGGGCTCCGCCGGCGGGCGGGCGGGCGGGGGAGGAGCCGAGGGGGCTGGCTCCCCGACCGCGCCGATCCCCGGGCCGCGAGCCGCCTCCCCCCGCCCGGCTCGGCCCCGCCGCGCCGCCTCTCACCTGCCTTCCCGGTCCGGTTACGCTCCACAGGCCCCAGGCCCAGGCCCCCACAGGCCACCGGCAGCCCGCGACGGTTGCAGCGCCTGTCTCTTTAAATCCGGGTCTTTGCGCAAGCGGCAGCGCGCAAGCGCAGAGATCCAGGCCCACGCTGCACGAGGTGTCCCCGCCTCCCACGGGCCCCTCCCATCACCGCCGCCCCTTCGCCGGCCACGTGGCTCGCGGTTGGATTCAGGCTAGGGATCCCCTAGGCTCCTAATTTCCGTGAGGGTTTGGCTTCCTACCTGCTGTCGGGACCCTGGAAAGCCAGGCTACAAGGACGTGTTGATGCCCAGGGATGCAGCCGTGCCTGAACTTCCAAGGACACCCCTCCGCCTTGATTTTCTCAGTGTTAATGATTAGCCTGTCCTTATGGATATAGGTTGAGAAACTATAGTGTAATGAGCTTGGAGAAGGCAAAGATTGGGGCATTCACCCTTTTTTTTCTGCAGTCCCTCTCTTGTCTGCACAGTCCCTAGCATATAGTAAATAATCAGTAAATATTGAATTGTATAGATAGGTAAAGGAGTGATGGGGAGAGGAGCCTCTGCATTGTGGGACTTACAAAATACCTCAAGTCAGCTTTTTAAGAGGTTAGGATAACCGTTTTTACAAAAGAGTAGCAGGTTCAGAGAAGGTATTTCAACTTATTCAGGGTCTAGGAACGTCAGAAAATTGGGGCATTATTAGAAGCAATAAGCGAAGATCAGATTCTGGAGGGAATTCTGTAATATGTGGGAAATAGCTTCGCCTTCTTATGTAGAGAATGGATAGCCTTGAAGCATCTTCTGGAATAGTAATTGCTGTTGAAGCTGGGTAGGAGAGATTGAGGCTACAGAACCCATTAAAAGTTTTTTGTAAGTTACCCATGTGTGAGGTGAAAGTGGCCTGAACAAGCTCAGTTAGTTGGGGTGGAAAAGGTGTATTTTTAGTAGGCATTTAGATTTTAAATTTTTTCTAGATAAAGTTCTCATTTACCTAATGATGAAATGAGGATGACTCTAGAGAGCAGGTAGATAGATGATAGTGTCATCAACTGAAATGGAAAATGAGAGGTGGGGAGGAGGTATTTGGGGTAAGAGATGAGTTGTTTGGGATATATTAGGTTTGGTTGGCTGAGGCCAACCACAAACCCACTGTCTCAAGTAGAACATAGTCTAATGTCCCACCGAATGAACATAATCTTTGGGAATGGAAGGCCCCTGGATGCTCACTGGCAGTTGAGTGATCCTGAATATATCTCTGTAACTGCATTTACACATCATATTGAAAATCCCCGTCTGTATTTCTCTTGTTCCCTAGCCCTGTGCTGTCACCACTAGCACATATGGCTATAGAGTGCTTGAAGTGTGCCTAGTCCAGGTTGAGATGTAAGTATAAAATGAACACCTTTTAAAAATGTATAACCAGGGCCTCCCTAGTGGAGTAGGGGTTAAAGTGTCAGGGCTGTCAAGCTATGCCATGAGTTCAATGCCTGGCCAGGAGCTAACCCGCACTGCACAGCAGACCTCTCCTGTCTTGCCCGCAGCTCCCCTCAGCAGTGTTTCTCAGTAGATTTTCCTGTTCTGCTCACCTCTCTGTCTCTGGTGAATCCTTTCACTACTCCATACCTCTGGCCTGCACGCTGGTTCTTATATGCATGAATAGATAAAAATAAATCTTTAAAAAAAATAAAAATGTGTAACCAAACAAAATAACTGCCAGGTATCTTACTTGGTAATATATTTATATTGATTACATTTTAAAGTAATATTTCAAATTTGTGGCATTAAATAAAAATACATTGTTAAAATTAATCTCACTGCATGTTTTCACTTTTTTAAAAATGTGGTGAACTAGAAAATATAAAACCGCATGTTTGACTTGCATTATATTTCTAAGGACAGCACTGCACTATACATCAAAACTGTTTATGGCAGGTGGCATCAGTGCCATATGCATCTTTTTATTTCCAATGCCTAGAACAGTTCAGTCCCATAGTAGGCATTAGCTAATATTAATGAGAAATGAATGAAAATCATGAGTGAATAGAATGCATGAAACTCTGAAAATGATAAGCTTCCTCATAAGGGTATTCATTGCAGTTCTTTGACAATGTTTGATATAAATTAGCAAAAAGACTTAGGCTTTTAATGTTTGTTTTGCTTAATTAGAGCTCCAAGGAACACCTAATGATCTGTTTGACTGAGACCCCAACTGTGAAATGGGTGAGGTTTAGCAGTTGCATTTCCTTAAAGAAGTGGAAACTGCTACCAAGCAGAATGAGGAAATGTGAGCTGGGAATAGCAGGCTTTGGAATAACACAGATTTAGGTTTGAATTATGTTCACCACTGGCTTTGTAAACCTTTTTTTTTTAAAGATGTATTTATTTATGCATGCAAGAACTGGGGTGCAGGTCAGAGGTGTGGGGGATGAGAGGGTTCACCAGAGACAGAGTGGGGAGCAGAACAGGCAGATGGACTGAAATACGCTGCTGAGGGGAGCAGCGGATGAGGCAGGAGCAGTCTGCTGCACCATGTGGGTTAGCTCCCCAGCCGGGATCGAACTTGTGCTGCAGTGGCTGCAGATAGCTTCATAGTGCTGCATCTTAACCCCTTGAGCCACCAGGGAGACCCAGCTTTGTAAATCTTACCTGTTCTCTAGGCTTCAGGTTTTGTGGTGATAAAAATACCTCTTAGGATTGTGTGCTAACTAAATGAGATGTCAGATTTAAACTTGCAAACTACTTGGCACTTAGAGGTATTTCAATAAATGTACATTTCCCTCCATTCTCCAACCTGGGTACATTCATACCACTGCAGAGTCAAATCATTCCGTCGATCATCAGTCAAGTATTTATTAAGTGCCTACTCTGTGTCAGGCACTATTTCAGTAACTGTGAATACATCAGTGAAAGAAAACAACCAATTCTGTCCTCATGAAACTAACACATTAGTATGGGAGCAAGAGAATAAGCTACTAAGTAAAAATGCATGGTATATAAGATGGTGATAGATGAATGGAGAAAACCAAAGCAGAGAAGGAGGATAGGAGGTGCCAAGTAGGGCCAAGTTTGTGGTTCTGTTTTAGTTTTAAATGCAATGGTCAGGAAGACCTCATGGATAAAGTGACAAATGAGTAAAAGAGTGAAGGAGGAAGCCACGTGGAGATATAAGGTAGATACAGGCCAGGATGTGTCTGCTACGTTGGGACTCAAGGAGGATGGTATGACTAGAGCCATAGGAGTTAAGGTTGAAAAGAGATGGAGGGCCTCCCCGGTGGCGCAGCGGTTGAGCGCTGGGTTGCGAAGCTGTCCGCAGCCTCGGCAGCGCCGGTTTGATCCCCGGCTGCTCCCCGGCCACCAAAGGAGGGTCCCACATGGCACGCAGACCTCTCCTGCCGCCCACTGCTCCCCTCAGCAGTGTCCTTCGGTCCTTCTGCCTGCTCTGCTCCCCGCTCTGGCTCTGGTGAATTCTCTCGCCCTCCCGCGCTTCTGACTGTACCCAGTGCTTGCATAAATAAATAAATAAATAAATCTTTAAAAAAAAAAAAAAGAAAAGAGATGGAGATGAGGTCAGCAGGGTATCTGGAGACAGGTCCTGTATATAGCCCTTGTAAAGATGTTGGCTTTTCTTGCAGGTGAAATGGGAAGCTAGTGGATTGCCCTGAGCAGAGAACATTATCTGTCTTAGGTTTTAACAGGATGGCTTATCACCTTGGCTGGCGTGTAGAGAAATTGGGAGATGAGTTA